AAATTTTGACCTCTAATTAAATAAAAATTATATTAGATATTGATACAAAAAGAGTTTTATTAGATTTATTATATCAAGTACTTTCAAAATATTATTCTATTTAATTAAGATACAATATATATTTTATTTAATTATAAGTCAAAAGTTGAAAACTGTTGACCGATAAAAGTTAAAACTAGACAAATACTCAAGGACAAAGTTAGTATGAAATATTATTTTGACTTTTGAGATCAATATTTTTAAATTTGATCATAAATTACACAGAAATAAATTGAATTGTGATATAAATTTAATATTCATAGATTTATTTTGAGATGTGGTTTTGAAATATTATATTTCTATAATATTTGTTTGTATATAAATCGATATAATAATGGTCAAAGTATTGTATTGGAGATGATAAAAAGTTAATTAAAAACAAAATTTAAAGACGGTGGGAGTAACATTTGTGGAAGTTTAAAGTACTCTCTCTGTTCTTAAAAGATTACCAAAGCTTAATTTTTTTGATCGTTTTGTGACACCATTAACCATGAGTTAAATATAGTTCAGAATAATTAAATATTATAAAAACTTGATATTTCAAAATTGTGCCACCATTTTTTCCCCCTTTCCCCTTCAACAAATTAAATCAGAGCTATGTCAATTTCAGCTTTCCTTTCTCTTTCCATGCACGGAAATGTCTTCTCCTTTGCCTATTTTCTTAGTTATTTAATAAAAATACATCTTGTCTTGTAAAACTTTTGATGTAGTTTTAAAATATATAATTTTATTTTTTTAATTTTACACCTATAATCAAATAATTTGAATTGAAAATAATTTCATTCAAACATCGTAAACCGAACTAGGAAGATTATTATAGGACAAAGGAAGTATTATTTTTTAACATCTATTTTAATTTAATTAATTAAACCAAAAACATACAAACAATAAAAATTTATTTCAAACGATTATTTTATTAAACCTAAAATAACAAAACATTTCATTAGTTCAAAGTAAAACATTAAAATTAAATTAAAAGACAAAAAGAAATTAAGAAACTTAGAAATTGTAAAGAAATGAAGAAATATAAAAATTTAAAACGGAAAGAAACAAAAACTAAAGAATAAAAAAAGAAATGCAAAAAAATGAGAAAAGAAAAATCTGAAACAAGAGAGAAAGGAAAAGCACGAAAAATGGAAAAAGGAGTAACGCACAGCCCAAGTATTCGATCCTCAATAGCTTAGCTTCAATGTTTAATTTAAAAAGTAAGAACCATCTTAGAGTTATACTAAAAAATTGTAGTATTTCATTTATATCCCACAATTATACACAAATATTTTAATAGTTTACACTGACACAGGTGTTGGTATGTTAACAAAAATTTATACGGACACAAAGTGTTAGTGCATTAATAAAAATTAGTTTTACACCAACACAAAATGTTGATGCAAACCTACGGGGTACAAAAACTTGGGGTACAAATAGCTTTATCCTTAATTTAATGTTTTGTAGTTATGGAATATCCATCAAGGTTAGTGTTTTGTCATTTTGAGAAAGACAGAAAGTCATCTAAAAATGTCCTTTAACTTATACTCCGTATTTTCAAAGTTAATCTATACTAATTGAAAGTTATCTAACATACTTACGCCAATTGAAAAACATTATTCTCAAATAGGCTTAAAACCGTCATGAATTGAAACTTATTTTGTACTTCACTTACTAGTACTTGGGGGTCTGGAATTGTTTTTATTTGCAAATTGTAAATTATAACAACGTGATTGGTTTCCTATAAACACAAATATTACATTGTAATTAAATCAATAATACTAAAATAATTCCACTTTTCTCATCCACTTACGGCACAATAAAAAATTATATATTCAAACGAAAGATGTACTCTATCCGTCCCAAAAAAGTTTCTCCTTTTAACTATTAAGAAATTTAAGAGACTAATACCTTTGTTTTTACTTTTTCAAATTATTCTCGATGTGTTTGGTAAAAGTAGAATGAGATTGTAGTATAATACTGAACAAATCCTTTATATATATAAAGCAGAGTCGGAGCTATAAGAACGTGACATTTGGCAGAGCTAAAGCGCGACATGTGGTGAGCTGATGTGGCGACATGTGGCGAGCTGATATGTCACCCTTTTAGACAAATCGATCGGTTTGACCGGTTAGACCAGTTCTTTTTTTGCAATTTTTTCCAAAAGCATACCACCATGGGATTTGAAACAAGGATCTCTTAGGGGCTGTTTGTTTCAGCCTCTTAATGATTCAGATGTCTGAATGGTTCAGCACTTAATGGTTCAGAGTGTTTGTTTCAGCCTCTTAATGGTTCAGATGTTTGAATGGTTAAGAGATTTGCCTCTGAATGGTTAAGACCTCTTATCTGAATTGATCAGACATTTGCCTCTGAATAGTTAAGCAATATACTAGCTCTTAATAGTTCAGACCTCTTACTGATTCAGCACTTAATGGTTCAGACCTCTTACTGGTTCAGCACTTACCGATTCAGAAGTTGCCAAACAGCCCCTTAGTCATTTAGTTGAGTTCCTAACCATCCAAGCTAGGGTGCTTTTTGTTACAATCTCACTTAAGCTTTTATAATGTTTCATAATTAAAAAAAGATTGTATAAAAAATTCTTTTTAGTTATAAAAAATATAATCTTCTAATATAATATTTGAGACTCCGTTTGCTAGAAAGTCGCCAAAAGACAAGCTTATGTGGGCGAAATTAAGGTGAGATGGCAAGTCTTTATTGGTTGCTTATGTGACAAATTTTATTAATGATGAATTGTCCTTTCTTTTTATTTTAAATAGAAATTTAATAATGATTTCAAATTTTGGAAAAATTTTAGGCTAAAAGATTTAGTACAAATAAAGAATTCATTACTTCGTGACATTAGTTGAGTATTTATATTTTTTATTTTTAAAAAGCAATTCATCTATTTATTTGTTATGATGTGATAAAATTAATTATGTTATAAAATCAAATTTGTGAAAGATAAATGTAGTATTGTCCGAAATAAAATTTTTAAAGGAAAACAATTATATAAAATTTAATTTTATGATAAAAATTAATATGATGTAGCAAACAATTAGTGAAAATATAAAATTGATATTATCACTTACCATTTCAAGACTAGCATTTTTTATGAATCAAATTTTTAACTAAGTGCATACACAAAAAACAAAATTTTGATAATGATATATTCTCATTTAAGAGTATTCTTATAGAAAAGGATCAAATATGTTTATAATTGATCCTTTATTTATAAAATTGATATTTTAATCTTTAAGAAGCATGGATGTGATATTGTTTAAGAGACATTTCTGACACGTAAACTATATTATAGAAAGTAAGAAGTTAATACTATTGTATGAAGTCCTTCGGTACAATTAATTATGGAAGAGAATATAGATATTCATTTTTATAATAATTATTTTCTAATTATGTATAATTTTCTATTCAAATATTATATTCTACTTTGTCGTTGTTTTCCATTGATTAAAATTTGTGATAGAAATATATTTACTTGATTCTGGAATAAATATTTTATTAAAAAATTTCAAAATCGACAACAGTTTCGTTCGACCCCGTGCATCGCACGGGTCAAAATACTAGTATTATTTAATAGAGAGAGTAAACATTAATAGCGGTAAAAAAGTTTTTTAATAAAAATGAAAATCATTTTTTATTTTTGAAAAATAAAATGAGAAAAATATTTTTTTAAGGGGATGGAGTATATAACTAGCTGCATACTCTTGATAAAATTTACTTTTTACAAAAAAAAATTGATAGATTTCATCATGCATTTAGTGGAAGTCCATCAAAGAACATAATGTCAAATGAAATTGATGTCACATACGGATTCATATTCATGCATTTTAACACATTGGAATTATTTTCTTTATTCTATGTAGATTATAGAATTAATGTCGTGTATGATAGAAATATATGATGAGTTAAAATTGTTTGGGAATTGATATGATGAGTCTCGATCTCTTTTTTGATTCACACAACCAAACTCTTATATATTCACGTCACATTCAATAATATAAAGACGCGACTTTAGAAAATGGTTTTGTATTATATAGAGAAATGTACAAGAGAGATTATAATTATACGAGTAACACACTTCACTCTTTCAATTAGAAACACTTTTCTATACTTCACTCACAAACACTCTCAATAAGCATTCTTGGTTCTTCATTCTTCAACTGCCACACGAGACATCCACACCCTTATTTATACTCATCACCAAGTCTAATTAAATTTCTTCAAAATAATTCAGACATCTCTATATCTTTAGAAACTTTTAGAAAGTCTGTATAAACTTCTATAGTGTTCTAGATGAATCAAAAGGACTCTATATATTTAGTTCTAGAATATTTTAGAGGGTCCTACATTTCTCTACATACACAGTTCTAAAGACTTCCAAACCTTTCTAGAAAGCTCTAAAACACTATAGGAATTTCTACACTTTTCTACATAGAGCCTGTTTAGGAATAACGTTAGAGATTTGCGTCAGCGTTTTGAAAAAGCTATCTACGGCCAACTTTTAACGTTAGCGTTTTCAAAGTAATCTGCACCGTTAAAATTTTGTCCAAAACGCTAACGCTAATTTCTAACGCTATTCCCAAACAGGCTCATAATTCTATAGAACAGACTTCTACACTTTTCTAAAAACTTCTTCAAGATTCTCAACAAACTTTTAGAAATCTCTAGAATCTTAATTCCCTCTCAAAACTCTTTGGAAATATTGAATTAATCCTATCAAAAATTTCTTAACATTTTTTATATACATCTCCAAAATATAATTATTTTTGGTGCCTAATAGTTTGACTGGTTGAACCAATATCATGCTTTTTTAATTAATTGTTTTTACTAGCATTCATATTCCATTCCAAAAAATAATTTATCAAAAATTTAAATAGAGCTGTCTTGAAAAAGCAACTCATAATGAGTACGTAGTTAATATTATATTGTTTGTAATAAAAATATAACAGCCCTGGGTAAATTGTATGCTTGAGATGTTGGGAGAGAAGCAACAAGTAGGATGCACCTACAAGGATTAATTTCAAGACAACCAACCAAACACTTGACCCAATTTACCACAATTGATTAACCAAGCACACAAAATCAGCAGCACATCAAATAAACCACAATCAAATATGAAGAATAAAGATGCAAACGACACACGATTTTTATACGTGGAAAATCCCTTCGATGTGAAGGATAAAAACCACGGGACTTATAGGGAGTCCGTCCTCTTCTTCTCTTATTATGCAAATTGAGGGTAAAAACACCCAAACTCAGTCTACAAGGATGTCACAGCCCACCAACAACAACATACATAAGAGCCATCAACAATAGAGAAGGAAAATCAGGATTATCACCCAAAAACGCAGCGTCGCACCAGCTGCGATTACAGAAGATCCGTAGCTCCGATTAATGTGAAACTTGAACAGATTGAAGCCCAAAGTGTTGGGAACAACCTCTGAAAATTTCAGCTCAATCCAACGGTCGGATCTCCGGCGATGATCGATTTTGTGCGGCTGGTCTGTAAATTCTGCACCAGCACCTTTCGTCTCTCTATTCTGTTTTTTTTTCTCTGTGTGCTCTCTCTGCTCTGTTCGTAAGCACTGCCACTGCCCAGCCCTTCTACTCTCTTTTTTTTAGTCAACAAAGTAAAAACATAATTGGGCCCTCCGCCAAAGAAAAATGGAACCCAAATAAAATGGGCTGGACCCACAACATGAGACACGTACAAAGTGCAAATATACAAGTACACAAATTACATTTTAATTTTTCAAAAAATGCATAGGAAAATAGATGGTAGTATGGCATTAGAAATACATTCCCATATCATGGAATAGGATCTACATGGAAATTAAAAGGCATAGTAATCCGACCTCCACTCTAGAGTTTGGTCTTAGAGCACTGGAAATATCTGTGAAGCCCCGGGACTTCAAAATTTCTCTCTTTGTCACATCAGCTTTTACTTACCTCACAGATTCAGTGGAAATGAGTTTCAAGCCCCGGGGCTTCAAATAGGGGCTTCAAACCTTTATTTTTACATTTTTAAAAATACATCTTCTAAAACTAAATTAATAAAATTTAATTATTTAAAAAAATTGCATTCATTAAATTAAAAAATTGAAGTGACAATAATTTAAAAAAATTGCATTCATTAAATTAAAAAAACTAATTATAAAACGGGAGGAGATGGAGTTTGAAATTTATAAAAAAAATTAATTAATTTTTTCTTTTTTTGCTTCCAACGGCTAAATTAGCAATTATATAGGGGTGAGAAGCTGCGTCAAACGAATGACGCGGGCCAGGGTGAAGCCCAGAGGGCGGTGTTTAACGCCCCTTGGGCTTCAAAAGTATCATAACGCCGGTTGGTGTTACATGTATTACCAGTGGCCTTACCATGTTCTCGTGAAACGATTAGGCTTGGGGGACTTGTACATTCACACTTCCTAATTCCTATGAGGCTAAGACGCCTAAGAGTATGTATTAGTCCATCTTAACAAGAACATGTGCAGTCTTGGGTCTTTACGGGATCTTCAGCTAAGATTCAATTCATGTACAAAGTAAAACGAAAATATATTTTTTGTCAAAATAAGTCAGAGATGTCCTAGTTACCCATCAAAGGGATGGCACACACTAAAGAACAATGAGGCAACAATGACCATGATCCCTAAAAGAAATTAAATCAAAACAAAAGAAACACAATAAATGCTATTGGACAAATTAAAGGTCTTGTTCAACTTATTTTAATTACAATATCTCTTTTTATTTCTCTATGACCTTTGAAAGTTATACTTGGTTTTTTTTGAAAGCAAACCTCAAATAATTAAATAGTTGTAGTAATAAAGTCATATTGTGAACCAACTCACTCTCCAACGCTCTCAACAGAATGTGAAATACTTACCAACAAATGCACCGCCTCATTATCATCAGTAGAGCGGAAAACTAATTTAAAACTAAGATCTCCACCACAAAATTCTTGAAGACGCTTACAATGAGTAATAATAGAACTAAAATACCGGCGACAAAGGTGAAAATGAGTTCACACATTCTTTGCGTTTTGTTTCCACAATAACCTACACACAACTCTTACCTTGTACTCAGCTCAGAGTCTCGTTAACCACAATAGCTTTCGCCACTCTGACATCAAAACTACCCATGCACATGATATGCTTTGTCACTATGAAATGACGTACCCTCGTGTTCCCAAGCAATAAAATTAAGCCTTACAAGATTGTGTACTAAATCCACTGAATTATCCACATTGACCTTAAGATAATTCGTTGGTTGTCGTTCCCACATACACTTTCACAAGGACAATGAGACCTAGGAGTGAGCAATTTAACCGAACCGACCGATAAACCAATTTCGGTTTCAGTTTTAGTATATATAAAATTTAGTTAATTCGGGTTTTCGGTTTTGGGCAGTATTAACTGAAACCGATCGAAAAACCGAGCCCAGTATATGCAATTATGTATATTTTATATTTGTAAGCCCAATGTATCAATTCAAGGAACAAAGCCCAGTACAAAACCCAACTAATGACGGCCCATCCCAAATATAGTGTTGATGTCTCAGTGTCTCACTATCTCCGTATATTGACTTCTTTGTGAGTGTAATCCCTAACCGGCTAATCCGCTTCCATCAACGACAATACGGCATCAAGACTTTACGCCTTTAAGCATTTTAGTAAGGACGGAGATCAGATGCCGACGAAGATGCCCTTTGACAACAACGGCTATGGCAGCTACTCCGCTTTCTCTGCTGATACTCCGTCGTACCAATCTACCGGCGAATTATGTGAAGACTATGTTGAAGTGAGTGTGGAACATGCCTCTCAGTCCATCGACAGCCCTAAACCTTATATATTTGGATCGAATTCGTACCAAGGACATCCCGCTCCATTTTCCGATGGGTTGGTTACTTGAAAATCGACAGAACGGAATCGGTTTATCTCGGTTTGGTTTGTTCGGTTATAAAAAACTTTGGTTCGGTTCGGTCGGCTAATGTGAGTCATTTTTACTTTCGATTATTTCGGTTTTGGACCTAAACCGATCAAATCGAACCGATGCTCTCCCCAAAATTGAGACCCCTCGAAGATATGGTCTCTTCCAAGGACTCAATGACTCATTGACCATCACATTTAATGTGTTATAATCATATTTATCGCTTGATTTATCTTAAAATATTAACCTGTATATATCAATATAGTGTCCTCTTTACTCAAACTAGTGTTAATCCCGTGCTTCGCACGGGTTCGTATATATTCTAAATTTTTAAGATTCTGTAAATATAATTTTAGTTGTTTTAGTTTTCTAATAATGACAAAATATGTTTTAAACTGGTGGACTATATATTGGTATGTTAATTTAAAAACAAATAAATTATATAAAATTAATGGTCATTGAATTAAGTACTAATAAATATAGTTATAATTAATAAAATATTTTAATAAAAAGTGGATTAATTATATAATGATATATCATTAGAGAATGACTAATAGATAATGACCAAACTAATATATAATCCAAGTGATAGTGGACATTTAGTTGAATAATGACTAATAGATAATGATCAATGGTCCTACATTGAGAAATAAAAATATATGATTCTATATTGAGAAAGTCAGTACGATTTAGTCCTATTTAGTTAAATTACTCTAATTTTTTCGTATGCATATATATGTACTCAAATCTTTTTATGTTCACCCATTTAATTGATAATAAAATTTGAAATGTACAAACCATTTATTTTACCTTAAAATTTCAAAGAAATGTAAAGAGTCATGCTTCGACTCCATTTTTTACCACTGCAAACTTAATAAAATTCTTTTAGAGAAGTATATGCATAATAATTATTCCACAAAAATGAACGACTCTAAATCTATTTTTTATACAAAAATATAATTGTTAATCTAAAATAAGAATGTTCTTTACTCCCTATACATGTAAATGTTCTTTAAATTGTTAATGCGATGTACGGGGTGGAACAATTTAATGTCCAAAAATATAATTAATCCAAAAATAGAAATTTTTGGGAAGCAATACAATTTAACAAATAAAAATAAAAAATAAGTTGGAGTGGTATCAATCTCATTTTTGCTAATAATACCATTTCATTAAACTTGTCAAATTAAGGGCCGCTACCAAATTCGAAATAACATCAATCACAAAAATTGTAGTTAAGAAGCCAATTTTCACGATTCAACTATTATTTATCCGATTAGCTGTAGATGAAAATATAATGATAGTCGCTAATTTCACTTTCATAGAAAAAGGGAAAGACCATGATTTAATGGATTGTAATTACCATAATTAATACACGCCTATTTGATTAAATTTACTAACTCCTCCCATATGGCATCAATTTACCAAGTCATTAAAATAATAAATAGGTGTCGATGACGTGTTAAAAAAGCCAAGTAGATTCGCCACATGTCAAATTTCTGTGAAGAAAAGTCTCAAATATTATAGTAAAAGATTAAGTACATCATTGACATCATTTTAAAAAAATCATTAAATATTTGAATAGTACAATGAAAACAATTTTTTAATATTCACATAATCAATCTAACATAATTATTTAATATTTACAATCAATCTAACAAAATCTGATAAAATGATTTAGATATGCCAATTAAACTCTTCGTAGCATAATTAAAAGAATATTTCAATTCCAAAATGACCCATACTTTGATACTCTGTAGCCCGTACTTTTATCAGTTTTATGTTTTGCATCTCCAGCTTTAGCACTAGTCCAGGACTTCATTAACCCCCGATCCTAATTCATTTCTTCAACCTCCCGATCCCAGTTCTTCAGCTCTTCAAACTCCTTCCTCCTCTGCTTCGTCCGGCTTCCATCAGAACTCAGAAGGTTAATCTCCATCTCTCACTTCCGAATTCGTGTTTACGTTTCATGTGCAATTTATCGAAATGTGTTCATTTCAACGATATGTATGATGTATCCGTCTGCATATGTTCCGATATAGAAAACTACGCTGGATCTCTGGTTCGTTTGTCCGATTTTCATTGCTAATTGTGGACTAAATTAGTTGCTTTCTTCATTAGTGTAGCAGATCGGATGCATATTTCTCTGTACAGAGACATTTCACCAACCTGAGTGTTTATAATTGAAGTTAATCCTTACGGGAGGTTCATTTTCAACAGCTGCAGTGGTGGATTTTGTGCAAAAATGAATTTTCTGTTGATGCGGTCGAATCAGAATGCATCTCCAGAGTCTTCCCCTGCTAGGGAAACTCAGGCAGATAAGAATTCCGTAGCAAAACCTAGTTCTAGTTTAGAGGGCCTGATTGCTGAAGATTCGTTCCAGCAAGACACGTACTCTGGGGACTGTGATGTAGGGGACTATGAACATGGGAATGAAAATGGAGGTGCTGTTGGGATAAGTGGAATGGGATGCCACACTGAGGTCACTGAAGATGAAGGGTGGATAGCTGTTCCAAAGGGTATTATCTCGTTGCCTCTCATTGTCTTGTAGAGCTCTGTTTTGCTTGCTATTGGGTGGTATTTTAGTTTGCATATTCACACAAAATACCCGCCCTGCGAATCGGTACTCCGTATTATGAATGCAGGAGTTGTGTCAAACAAAGATGTCAATAGAGTGTAGTTATGATTAATGAAGCATTCCCTGTCCATGAAAGTGTTACAGGTTCATTCTGTTAACTTTATGAACCAACTACAGTAATGTCATTGTCTAAATTCTTTGGATGAACCAGGCCCTATAGACTATTACTCCCATCCCCACCCACCCACGATTTTGCATTCCATGTAGACCACTGTTATGGATTTTGGTGGTGTCAATTATCTCAATGATTACTGTTATAACTTAAAAATTAAACTCATTTCTTTGTGAAGTATTACTAAAGTGGGATATACCTTTCCAGAAAAACTTCCTGATAACTGGAGCGAGGCACCTGATATAACCTCTTTACGCTCACTGGACCGCTTCTTTGTTATTCCTGGTAGCTACTTATTGCAACTTAATTTTCCGTCTTCTCTTCAAGTTACAATACTTACTTTTGAAACTTTTGTGCGTTTGGATATTTATGTTCGAATTGCAGGTGAACAAGTCAATGTTCTTGCATGCTTATCAGCATATAAGCAGGAAACAGAAATTATTACTCCATTCAAAGTTGCTGCACTAATGAACAAGAATGGGTTAGGTCAAAGCAGCAGGAAAGGAAATGGCTGCACAGCTACTGAGATCAATCCTGATTCTGATGGTACAGAAATAAGTGACAGTGGTTATATGAATCATACTGGGATCTCAGAACAAGGAAAATGTGATACTAAAAATGAAGTTTCCGCTGGTGAATCTCTTCTAAGACAGGAGGAGCATAAAAGACATAGAGAATCCTTGCTGCTAAGAATGAACAATTCTCACTTCTTTGCTCGAATTGCCGAGGCTGATGAGAACCTATGGAATAAAAGAAAAGTTATGAAAGACGCATCTGCTAAGATAGGAAACAAGTTGAAAAATGAACTCTCTCCGAGTACGGCAATTGAAAGGGGAAATTTTGATGCCATAAGGTCAGGAGGGGTGGCACGAAATGCTATCAAGTGCTGTGCCCTTCCTAATGGAGATATAGTGGTATGCATCAAGGCAATATTATCCATTTTTATGTTTGAATATTCATCTCTCCCCGATGATAGTTGCCACTTACCATTATATATGTGTGTGCATATTTATGGTCTGCAAAACACAACAATGTGTAAAGAATAGAGGAATCAGCTGTAACTTTACTAATAATGAATTGCTGATGCTAGTCTAGAGGGTGTACTCTCATGGCTGTGATGGAAATTCCTATTGGTAAAAAAAATTTCACAAGTCAGTTGGTGCTATGCAGTAATAGACACATTCTTTCTTGACATCTTAAGCAGACACACCATGATATTTGAGAATTGTGACCTTTCCATCACAATATACTACAGTAAAACTTAGTTATGTATTCATGAAGTTTGTAGAAGACTTGAGGATTGGAGGAAGAAATTTTGCAAAAGAGGAAGGGGAAGACCCAAAAAGATGTGGGAGGAGATGATTATGAATGATTTGTCCAATCTAAATTTGGACAAGATGTGATAACTGATAGGAAGAAATGGAGAGAACTTTCTTGTGAATGACTGAACGTGATTCTCCTGTTTTGCTTCATATAACTTATCCAAGTTACTTGAGATAAGGCTTAGTTGTATTCATAAAGTTTGTATTCCATGGGTTAAGTATGATACCTCATGGTTTCAAACGCAACACAAATAGTTCTTTCTGTAGCTTCTTTAGCCTCTAGGAATGGAGATGTGGTTGCAATTATCATCCTTTTGGTTACCTCTTTTGCATTGGGCATGGAATTTAATTATGTATTGCGTCATGATGGGTATGAGATAGACTTGAGGTTTGCACATATCTTAAATACAATGCCCTATTGGGATGTTTGCCGTTGAGTTTGCAAATAGCTTTTGGCTTCCAGTTTTTGAAATGAAATTCTCGAGTGTGTCAAACACTGAAAAACTGATTCCACCTTATTTCCACAGCAGATTTCTTCTCCAAACTTCATTTTGGAAAAGCTACAATTTAAAGCTTCTCTTACACTTTTCTGAAATGGTTTTTCAAAACCATTTTGCGAACACCCCCGTTGTCTATCAAACTTAATATATTCTCCATTGGTGTTCTTTTTAGTGTTGGTGGACAACTGATGTGCTTCAATTTTCTTATCTGGAAGGATGCAGATATGTTTACAGGTAAATGTTGGTGTTGAATTTTTCAGAGATCCTATACTGGAAATACTTCAGTTTGAGAGACCTCCGGAGAGAAATTTGCCTTCTGGGAGTTGGAAAAGTTTGACTTACGTAGATCAAGATCCTTGTGATGAGCTCTTGAAGTGGGTGCTTCCTTTGGATAATAAGATTCTTCCTCCAGTCCAACCTCCTTCCCCTCCTCAACTTAGTTATTCTCCTTCTATACGCACCTCATCCGCAAGGATCATTTCGTCACCAGCAACTGGTTCTCAGCTTTTCTCTTTTGGGAACTTCAGAAGTTACTCCATGTCCTCACTTCCGTCAAATAGTGTGCAGCCGTCATCTGCTTCAAACTCTAATTCCATACCCAATTTTGATCCCGAAAATTGGGAACAGTTCTCATTTCAGAAGGCAATCAAGAGTGAAAACAGCAGGAATGAAGGGCTTTTGTCTTTTCGAGGTGTGTCCTTGGAGCCTGAAAGATTTTTGGGTCATTGTGGTTTGGAAGGGGTGTTTATGCCCGGAAGGAGATGGAGAAGGAAAATTGAAATTATCGAACCATTAGAAGTCAAAACGTTTTCTGCCAATTGCAATTCAGATGATCTCATTTGTGTTCAAGTAAAGGTTTGGTCTCGCTTACCCAATTTCTTTTGGATTAGTTCACTGCTCATCATTACCTTCCTTTTGTCTATATCTATGCACCCTCACGAATCCTCTTACAAATTCTCAACTTGTTTTGTGGAAATGATAAATGAAAGAGGATATGTTACTTGATACGACTATATTTTCCGTCATTTAAAATGCTAAACTGAATTTTACAGAACATTGCTCCAGAACATACACCAGATCTTGTCTTGTACATAGATGCCATTGCAGTTGTCTTTGAAGAAGCATCACAAAGTGGACCTCCTTTATCATTACCCATTGCATGCATTGAAGCTGGGAATGATCATTGTTTACCGGATTTGGCTCTCAGGTTTTTCTATTATAGAACTTTATTTGTCATGTAAATAAAATCTGGAGCCATTTTTCTTTTAAAATTAGTATGATTGTTTAAAAATGTTATTTCATCACCTATGACCCATGTGGTCCTCAAAATTGAAAACTCGGCCTGTTGGAATATGTTTGCAAATTTCAGACTGGTAACTATTAGGTTATCTTGGCAGGAGAGGTGAGGAACACTCTTTTATTCTCAAACCAGCCCCCCGCACTTGGAAAAACTCCAAGGGTAACAGTGAGAAAACTTCATGGTTACCACATATGAAAACGAGAAATGTAGCATCAACATTGCAGCATTCCTCAAATGTTGTGGGGAACAATATCTCGACAACTGCTGATAAGTATGCTATTCTTGTATCATGTGCATGCAATTATACTGGTATCCCTTCTTTAATCCACTCTAGTCAATCTTTTACCGATATTCTGTCTCGTAATTTCTCTTTATATATTCTATTCTGTATGGTATTTGTAGAGTCTAAGCTGTTCTTCAAACAGCCCACAAGCTGGCGACCACGGATATTTAGGGATTTGATGATATCTGTTGCATCAGAAATGTCAAAACAAACTCTAGTTTCTGATGAGAGCGGGGCTCAGCTTCCAGTACAGGTTTTTGTTTTGTTCTTCTGGCAAACTTGCAGTACATGTTCTATATAATGCCTTGTTACAGATGTTTGGATGCAGAGTGATTAAGGTAGGAAAGTCAGAAGCACGAGAAAATGAGTACATTTTTGGTGTGTTTGGAATAAAATAAAAAAGAAATCAAAGTTTTTTCCTTGTAAAGCCATACTCCCTCTGTCCCATAATAAGGCTCCAAAGTTAATTGGCCATGGCTCTTAAGAAAGATGAAATTGTGGTTGAAATTTATGGCGATGAGAGAGGAATAATTTGAGCCATACAATTTATTTTTGAAAATGAGAGTGGAACCTTTTATGCGTGACAAACCAAAGAGGATATGTGAAACTGTTTACTTGGACAAAGACTATTTCCTTAGCATTCCACTATTCTCTGCTATTCCTTACTTTATCTCCCCAGACCCCAGTTTTTCTCTTCCCTGCTTCTCTTCATTCAAAATCATGTTAAACAAATTACGGGCCAATCTTGGAATTGGATTTTCTTGTAATAGCTGTTGTACAACACGTACGTGATAACTCGTGGAAGACAAGTCTCCTAATACGGGCTCAACTTAACAGGTCCTAACACTTCAAGCATCAAATTTGACTTCTGAAGATTTGACGATGACAGTACGGGCCCCATCTTCCTTTACTTCACCGCCTTCTGTGTTGTCATTGAGTTCTTCTCCAACATCACCACTTAGCCCCTTTCTTGGCTCTTCCGAGCTCTCAGAAAGAATGAACAATGAGAAGGCCATTTCTCTACCTGATGCCCTTCCAAGTAATGATTTGGGTTGCACACATTTATGGTTGCAGAGTAAGGTTCCCTTGGGGTAAGGGTCCTCTCTCTCTCTCTCTCTCTCTCTCTCTCTAACAGTATGCATTTATTTAATGGGAAAACTACACTTTTAGCCCTCAATCATTTGAAATTATGTAATCTAAGATATGTCTTCAGATTTTGTAAAGTTAGTATCTCTCGATGGCTAAATTTTAGATAAATTAGTCCCACGTGTTAAATTCACCGTTTAACATAAAGATATATGAGGGCATTTTTGGAATATAAATGACAAGAATGTCCCCTTATAAACTCTAACCAATATCTAATGGCGATTTTAATGGCATGTACTGATTGCATCTAAATTATGCTCACTCCATCCCAATAAAAAGTCCTCTTTAATTTTTGTCCCAAAAAAAAGTCTAGTTTGGTTGAGTCATAAACAAGTTTAGTATGATAAATCCAGTTATACCAACAAAATTGGAGGGCTAGAAGTGTGAATTTTTTTCTACTTGTTCAAAGTTTAAGCTCAACTCACGCTATGCTTGCTTGCAGCTGTGTTCCTTCTCAATCCACTGCCACAATCAAACTTGAGGTTCTTCCCTTGACAGATGGCATTATCACACTCGATTCCTTCCAGATTGATGTGAAGGAGAAAGGTATGTGTGACTTTAGCTTATTCTGATGTCTAAATTCAAAGAGCATAGGGTGGGGTGGGAAACAACTACATTTTTTTAAAAAAAATGATGGTAATACAGCAGATACATCCATGATCCATGTTATCCATATGTGCTAACAACACCGATGATCTATATAATTATATATAACAAAGAAGAGGAAACGGTGTATCAAATTATGGTTGTGTTGGGATTTAATTGGTTGGGATCCCGAAAACTCCATTCGCTTTAATAAAATTCGTGTAAAGTTGAATACAGTATGTATATACCGCTGAAGAGATGTTGTGCCATGACAGGCCTCACGTATGTACCGGAGCAGTCTCTGAAGATATATGCAACTTCGAGCATTTCCACTGCAATGAGGTGATTTTAAATTGTTCTTGAATGGTATATCAATTTTTTTGTAGTGGGAATTATGACATAGACTATTAGAGGAATCTGTCTTTACTTCTTCCCTTTATGTTAATCTATCTATGAATCTAAGATGCTGCTTTATCAGCACCAAAGTGTTGTACCATTAAATTTTTTTGTTGTAACTTTATACTCATTGAGTATTTGACTCTCTACTCCCTCCATCTCATAAAACGGCGTGGTTGAATTTGTTGCGCAAGAGAAAAATAGTGTTTTTTTAACCCCACACTGAACTCTTGGAGACTAGCGTTTCGATTCTAGAATCTGGATATTATTTTTGGTCGCATAGATTTTTTGACAGTGGTTTCTAATGTCATTATGACATTGGTCCATTCCAAACACTTATGGTGCTCCATTGAACCCGAGATTGTTTTTTATACCCCACTCTCAATCCTTGCATCCCGGCCCCTTGCCCCTCTCCATTTTGCCGTTTGGCTATAGTTTTATTTGCATTTGCGGAAGGTGTAACTTTTCTCACAAAAGAGGGTAGTTGTCAAATTTGATTTTTTGGCAATCAGATGAGGAGTTGACCAATCAGTATGTGAGTTGACCAATCAGATGAGGAGATGAATGAGTATGGTTTTATCTTTTCTAAGGGTTCTTTAGTGGGATTTTAAAGACTTAAAATTAATGTGATGCAAGTTGAAAAAAATTTAATGAGTAAGTCTAAAATGACACTAGTAGCACTGGTGTGATTTGCTTACACCAGTCTGTTTGGGATACCTACGGGCGCTGTTTATAAAAATAACGGTTCTTACTCCCTCTAACCCCCCCAAACCCTCACCCCAGTCCCCCTCCCGCCTCCCTACCCTGGCAGTATGCTAGTATACTGCCACGGAAGGGCGGGGGCGGGAGGGGTGGCTGGGTAAGGGTGGGACTGGGGTGAGGGGTTTAGGGGGAGGTTAGGGGGATAGGAATCATCATTTTTTACAAATGGGGCACCGTAAGTACTCCAAACCAATTGATGTAAGCAACTTGTGTATAAATATTTGGTGTCATTTTAGATGCTCCCAAATCTAATATATCAAAATAAATAGTTGAAAAGTTTTTTCTTTTTTAATTCAAGTGTGAGATTGTCTTGTTGGGTAGACATTAAGAGCTAACGCCTGAGATTCGGCCAGTTTTAAACAGCATTCTTCACTTTTTCTTTAATTTGAAAATATAAAAGTTTTAAAGGTAAAAACTAAAAAGAGCTGCTCGCTTTCTTTTTTGTCGATATTATATGCGACTAATTAGTACTCCCTCATTCAGTTATCAATTTTCAAATAACCTATTTTTAAAGATGGCAATTCTATTGATGTCAATGATGCTAATATATGTCTCGTTTGGTAACAATATTAAAGTTTAGCATTAACGTTTTGAAAATGATAATGATACTTTTCAACATTAGTATGTTAAAATTAATCTACATCATTATATTGTTATCTAAAATGTTAATATCAATAAACAACGTTGTTCCCAAATAAAGTGAAGCTCGAACCCTTTTTGATATCACACATTCACACATACGTAACACTAATTCGTATTTGTAATGTCTATAAAGACATTGATGTCAACAGCGAGTCAAAATTTGGGATGCCATAACACGGTTTTTTAAGTACCTACGATTCCAATTTTGAAGAAACAAAAACTAAAAAAAGTGGACAATTAATTTGAATGTATCAAATATTTACCGAAAAGTAAATAAATGAGTAATGCTAGAATCACAAACAAAACATTCACAAAATGCACAAATTTAATATTTGTATATTTTAGTTTTTATTTTTAAGTTATTTGAGACCATTATTTCAATAACATTCCGGAAATACGGAGTGAATAACAATGGATGGATGATTCGGTGTGTAAATTCAAACGTCCTTGAGAATAATTTGAAATCCTCTTTCACCAAATTTCCTCTTGGATAAAAAAAAAGTTAAATAATTCTTCTTGGATAATTTTCTATTTTTTTTCTATTTTCTTAAATAAAGTACCTCAAAAAATTAAATAAAACGAACTAAAAGATCTTTAAAAATTATTTGGTAGATTGATTGATTTCACTACAGGGAGATACAAAACAAGTACTCCGGTAAACAACATAAGAAATGTTTGGTTCATAAACACATGCATATTTTTTGATTATTGAATACCAAATATTTTAATTTAAAAAGGAAAAAAACGGAATATTATTTGAAATTCCAGAGTCCCTTTTATTCCATTTTTTATTGTCCCGGTGGGTCCCATCTTTACCCATAATTTTGAGTTCTAATTATTGGAGTTAAAACCGAGATTAAGAAATATTATTTGATTTAAAAATTCACTTGTTGATTTTTTAAATATTATCATCTTCATTTGAATAAATTTCAGGGCATAAGAAAAAAAATAGCCTTAAATATTATTTTAAATTAAAAAACAAATCAATTTTGGAGACATTCATAAAAGTAGCGATTACTCTTTTTTATACTGCAGAATAGAGGAAGCATTGTTTTTGAGATAAGAATTTAGAGGCAATGGTAAATTTTTTACTTAAAGTATAGAACATAATAATTTTCTTTTTAAATACTAATGCGAGTGTTTTTTTCTTTTACCTTATGATTTCACACTCTTTCTAAAATTTACCTTATGATTTCACTATTTGTCAACCTTTACAATCCAATAGTTTGGCTGGGTTTACATACTAATGTGAGTGGTATTTCTATTGTTTTTGGAGAATGATTTTGTTGACTTGATTTTTATTTTGATCTCCTCAATTAAATATATTAGTGAGTTAACTTGGTCAAGATATGTTGATTTGAGTTAAATTAATTGAACAAGCAAGAAATTATTGTGGTGAAAAACATAAAAAAGACATTTCAATTTTGATCTTTGTTACCTGTTAGTAACTTAGAATTTGGTTGAAGTTTTTTTTGTTACAAAATTTTTTAGTTGAAGCGATTTTTTATTACAAATTAAAGTTAAATTATTATTTTTGTTACAACACTTATAGCTCAGATATCTCCAACGGGAATAAGTTCTGTAAAATATTGATTGATTATGTTTTGAATTTTGATTAATGATTCTTAGGCCATCTCTTGTGGAGTGTTTCCCAATTCCCACCACGGTTACCAGCCCATCACGCCCTCCATCCCATCCCATGACCAGCGTGACAGGGCGTTGCCCCTTTGGCAGTAATGGCCATCTCGATCATGATTCGCATTTTTCTTTTTTAAACACTCAAAATTTAATGCATATTTACTTCAAGTAATTAAAGCAATTCACATCTTCAAGACCCATTAAACTAATTCACATTTTATTCCTTTTTCAAGATCTATAACACATATTTTATATTTTTTACTCGCTTCACCAGTTTACGAGGTGCTTGCGCGCATAGCACCCTATGAAATGTCGTCAAGTTTGTCATTACACGTAGCCTTACTCAACCTCATCTTTTTCACTCATCTCGAATCTGAGTGGGTCCAGAGAATTCTTATAATATTCCCTATGTCTCAAATTAAATTATACATTCATTATTGATAGGGTTAAATTTTATTTAATTTCTATTCATTTTTTTGCTATCTATTTGATAAAAAATTATTGAGTGTTTTAGGGAAATGGGAAATGATATTTGTACACAAAATATTGTAACCTGAAGGCATGCACCAACATTTAGTGCTATTGTGATGTTTTACAATTACATAAGATGTCAGTACAATTTTTTTTTGATGAACTAACATTTTGTACCAGTATAAATTATTAAAATATTGATACATTCTTTTAGGATAAAATTTAAATTACACTTTTTGGTGTAACAAAATTATTTTATGGTGGGATGGAAGACTTGGAACTCGTCAAATTTATACTCCGTATGTGACTCTTTTTTCTTACTCCCTCCGTCCTATAATGATCTTCTCGGTTCGCAAAACGAAGAAAAATCCCAAGTTTTTTCAATCTATTTTATTTAAATATTGGTATAGAAATAAAAAATAAAACATACATATTTAAAAACTAAACCAAAAGTTCAACAAAACAAGTGGTGACAAGAATATTTTATTTTATCATATAGGTCATAAAAAAATACAAATAAACATAAATTCCCGTGACGTTGGAATAGTGCTCTGGAAAGATCATTATAGGACGGAGGGAGTATCTAGAATCCAATAACATTGAGCAAGCAGACACTTTATCTTTGTTGGGGGGTGGGGGGCAACACTATTAGAGTAAGGATTATTCCATATTACGGAGTATAATCTGATGACGAAACCAGATTCCCTTGCGCGCCTTGTGTGTTTGTCTTGTTTACTATTCTCTTCCCTTCGGACGTTTGAAGGTCAGTCAAGATTCCTTAGAGGCAGCTGATTTCTCCAATCCAATCCACCCCAACAAAACCCTATCCACCCTACAGCTTACCCTTTTCTCTGTCAAGAACATACGGAGTATTTTTCTTTTCTATTCTGGGGGTATCTCAGGCTGGAACCCCCCTAAAGCAAGGATTTTTCCCTCTTTTCTTTGCTGGGTGTTTTTCCTGTTTTGAAATTCTTGGCGGGTTTTCAGTTCATTAGCTGATTCGATGAGCTTTTGGACTGAATGTTGAGAATGGCTTATGGAATTTGAGATTTGGAATGAAGAGGGGGTTAGGGCTGGTGGAAGACAGTGGTGAGGGCTTGAGGGGATTAGATGTTGTCTTATTAGTCTGGGGTTAGGGTTCTTGAAAAATGGGGTTTGAGGGTTGGGATGATGTGGCAAAATCTAAGGAGGGGAAGAAGAAGAAGAAGAAGAAAATGGGTGAGAGTGGAGATGACACTGGTTGCTGGATTAGACTTAGGTTCATTGGAAGCTGCATTTCTTCAAGATCTAAAGTTGATAACTCCATCTGTGGAATCAGTGCCCGCTGCGGTACATCTGCATTCCTCTTTTTGTTCATCACTAATTCTTTCTGTTTTGTTTTTTTTTCTTTGAATTTATTAGTAAGAGTTTTTTCAATTCATTCTTCAAGAACATTTTTTTTTAACATTTGAGACATTTCTTTACCACTGAGATTTCCCAAACACTTTTTCTTTCAAGAAAATAATGCTTAGTACCTACTCAGATCTTACCTTACTTGGAACTAGAGAGCCTGTTTCCAAGAGACCTAAAAAGATCTGATCTTTAAAAGCTTATCAAGTCTAAATTAGGCTAATTTTTTTATTAGCCCTAAAAAGATTGGATCTTTAAATGCTTCTCAAGTCTAAATCAGGCTTTTTTTTATATCATCCCTGCTGGATTCAACTAATTATTTGCATTATTTTGTTATCAGAGAGTAAATCTACTAATGATACAAGCATAGGCCAGGCGGTGGCTCCTGTTAGTTCGTCAACCACCACAAGCAATGCAGAGAGCAGTTCATCGACCTCTAAACTCGAAGAAGAGCTTAAAGTCTCTTCTTTGCTCCGTAAGTTCACATTCAATGATCTGAAGTTGGCCACAAGAAATTTCAGACCAGAATCTCTTCTGGGAGAAGGGGGTTTCGGTTGCGTTTTCAAGGGGTGGATTGAGGAGAATGGAACAGCACCGGTTAAACCAGGGACTGGTCTTACTGTTGCTGTCAAAACCCTGAATCATGATGGCCTTCAGGGTCACAAAGAGTGGCTGGTTTGCTTCTTTCCTTTCTTATGGGACCGTTTGGAACTCAGAAAATGATAGTTAGTGAAAATGTGAAGCGAAAGAAAATGGAAGGGAAAATTAAGGCAAAAAATATTAATACGTTTAAAATCAAACATTTAAAAGATAATATTTTTCTGGGTTCCAAACTTCGACTTTAATGTCACAGCTCTTTTGGTGATTTATCTGAAGGTGGATGATTCTTACTATGATAGGGTGGTTTGTTACTGTATGGCAGGCGGAAGTGAGTTTTCTTGGTGACCTAATTCATCCTAATTTAGTGAAACTGATCGGTTACTGCATTGAAGATGATCAGAGGCTTCTTGTGTATGAATTCATGCCTCGTGGAAGCCTCGAAAACCACCTCTTTAGGAGTAAGTGCCTAACCTTTCACCCAAAAATGTGCATTGATTATTTGCATTCGATTTCCATGGTTTTTCTTTATTATCAACTCCCTTTGTCCCGAAAAAAGAGAGTTATGTTTGACCAAGATATTACTACAAGAACAACAAAAGTCCTTGTATAATTCCATGAAAGTAGGGTCTGGGGAGGTCTACCCAGATACTCTAATTAATCCTAGATCTCTAAATGGTCTTATCTAAGGCCATATCCTAGATCTCCAAACGGTCCTATGTTTGACCAAGATACGACCTTTTATTATTAAATTGCATGCAGGGTCTCTGCCACTGCCATGGTCAGTCAGGATGAAGATTGCTCTTGGTGCAGCTAAAGGTCTCACCTTTCTTCATGAGGAAGCACAGCGCCCCGTCATTTATCGCGATTTCAAAACATCCAACATCTTATTAGATTCTGTATGTCAAATACATCTTTAGGATTTTCTTTAATCTTTCAAATACATGTGTGGATGGATTTCCTAATGAGACGGGAAATTGTTCCAGGATTACAACACCAAGCTTTCTGATTTTGGACTTGCCAAAGATGGCCCGGAGGGAGACAAGACCCACGTTTCAACTCGGGTCATGGGGACGTATGGTTACGCGGCGCCCGAATATGTCATGACAGGTAAATTTTGTATCTTTGATAGGAAACGAGTCAATTGTTGGAGGTTTTTTTTTGGTTTTGTTTCTTGCTTTTAGTTTATGGGTATGTCTTCAACATTGCGGATCATAATATTCTCATTTCTGTGATAATTTTTTTTCCCTTAGGACATTTGACATCAAAGAGTGATGTCTACAGCTTTGGTGTGGTGCTTCTTGAAATCATCACGGGCCGAAGATCGATGGACAAAAACCGGCCCAACGGGGAGCATAACCTCGTGGAATGGGCACGTCCCCTCATCGGTGACCGGCGCAGGTTGTATAGGTTGATAGACCCTAAACTTGAAGGGCACTTCTCTGTGAAAGGTGCCCAGAAAACCGTGCAGTTGGCTGCACGGTGTCTCAGCCGGGACCCGAAAGCCCGACCCATGATGAGTGAAGTAGTTGAAGCACTGAAGCCATTGCCAAACCTCAAAGACATGGCCAGCTCCTCCTACTATTTCCAGTCCATGCAACTCGAGCGGGCTTCATCCAGCCCGAGTGCCAAGAATGGGCTCCGAACTCAGGCCCACCACCCGTTTCCGAAGAACGGCCCGCACCACCCGAGGAGCCTTTCGATACCGAATGCATCTCCTTACCATCATCATCATCTTCTTCACCATCAGTTTCTGCAAAATTCGCCAAAACGGAATGGGAAAGTGTAGGGTAAGCATCCATTATTTTCATTCATGTTTATGGAGATGATACCTTTTATTCGAACTGGTGAAATCTCCCTGGGAGTTGGAAATGAATGTGATGTAAGCAGAGGTAAAATCTATGGGATAAAAATATTAATCCATCCATTTGCAGTTAAGTTTTGATTCCTTTATGCAATCTCCATGAGTTTTTAACTAGGATGATCTTAAAATGGACAATATATTTTCCAAGAAAACTATGGATATCAATTATGGAACTTAGTGAAATTAGTTAATTTTTGATTCCTTGGCATAAAAAAAACTAGAAACTCATTAGCCTTGACACCAAGCTTGACACTATTAGGCTATTTTCACAGACTCTAATCTTTGGTAGGAAATTATTGTCTTTAAAAGATTAGTGATGTCAATTTTGGTGTTAACCTTGGTTGGTTTGTAGCATGACTCATCTAGCATTGGTACAATCATTATAAAATATTCATTACAAAACTTTTTGTTCGTTAGTACGGAGTAAATTATTGTGTTTCAAAAAAGTCATAATATTTTATTGCCAAGTAGAAAGAGAAAGGAAACCATTTTTTTCCATCAAACACGTAATTTCCAAAAAGAATAACAGATAAATTATATCATAGATTTTATCACGGAGTAATAAAATTAACAAAATTTCCACAAAAATGAAAATTTTAAATATGTATCATGTTTTTTAAGAGTCGTCATTACCATGAGTCCTTTCAGGACTAAGATGAGTATATTGTAGGAGCATGTTACGTTTATGTCATATACCCCTAGTTTCAATTTTAAGTTGTCTTGTATGACTCCGTATGGAATGTTTTCAGATTTGAATATGATTGTAGGATTATGATACGTTTATGTCACAGCACGGTGTTATCCATTGAAACTCAAAGTGAATGTCAAGAGAACCTAGTCGTTTGTATATATTTTAAATTAATTAAAAAAAATTGGTGATACAGTTGATTTTTTTAGAACAATTAATGTGACACGGTTGAAAATTGATCCTTGCACTATAATTTATACATGCCATGGAGTGTCCTTATTTTTTTTAAATTAGTGTTCCATCAATTTTTTGTGTTCCTTAAAAAAAAGTCATTTTGTGCTTTTGTTTTTCTTTCAAAGAACGCACCTTTGAAAGCGGAGATGCTCATTTTGCTTTTGCTTTTTATTTTGAAGGATACCCAATTTGTAGAACATAGAGTATATTTAGAAGTTACGATTAATTTGGATGCATTTACCCAATGGAAAATGCCATTTTTACGCCATGAATAAGACTTGAAGAAAATACTGCAGAGTAGCTTAGTAACCTTAGCTATGAATAAATAATGATGAAATAATTAATCAAAACATAATGGTGAGATAAAATAGTATCAAGGCCAGCGTAAAAAAATGTTCCATAATTGGTTTCTACATAGTATTATTTTTCATTTCAACCTCAAAAGCTCGAGAAGTTCTACCAAACATATATCAAGCACAACCTCATAAACTCACAGCTATTCTTCCAATCTCACCGCTAAATCTAATGAAAAGAAGCAAGTGCAAAAGAAAAGCAGTGTGAAAGAAAACTTAGTAACTTGCAATAGTAGAAACAAAATGACACCAATAAATATTCTAGAAAGATCGTATGATTCATGACGATAATGTTAATCCATCAACTTACACTCGAATGGACGAAACCAAAAGAATTGAGAAGTCACACTCGCGTGAAAGCACCACGCAACAAAACATTATTTTTTACAGAACCATTCTACCATGGCAACAATTGGCAAGAACCCATAACCGCACAAGCACAGTTCATAGTTCATACGGTTGAAAATAAGAGGCGAATGTTTTCTACCTAACTTATTTCTCAACGCCAAAAACAAAACATCACCCTCCAAACACTTCCCCAGCATTATAGGAAAACCAATCATGGTTTGAGAGCAACAGACAACCCAATCTTGGCACTCTTCTCAATTGCCCGAGTGTCCACTTCACCGGAGATGGTGAAAAGTGACTTTGGACGCCACGCGTGTTGGATAAGAGTGTGTACCTTACCATTGTTATTAACCTTAGCCTTAACCGTGGTCAACGGATCCAATGCATGTTGTGTCCCAATGGTGAGAGTATTCTCGTTGCTCGAGAAGCTGTGAATCAACTCTGCTCCAACAGTTGCGTTTGTCAATGGGCGTACAGTTTGGTAGTATGATGCAGCAAGCTTGTCGCCCTTGTCACTCCTGTATTATAAATTGCAATATAGAAAATAAGGAGAGTATCTGGAAACTATAAGAAAATTTAACACGATTTTGTAACCCTACTACACTTTAATACTCAACCTGGGACGCACCTCTTAGTAGCCTTCATGCACTGGAGGGTATTTTTGTTTGTTTGCTAACCTAATTGGGTCTTTACGTGGTCCCCAGCTAAAATATGTATTAAAACTAAATTGCATAATCTAGCTCAAGATTGAGTCTATAAGAAAGTCAATGACCAAACCGAGTGATGGTGTAACTTTGTATAATCCATGTTGAGGAGTAAATTGTATAGTTAAAGGCTAAATTAGGTGTCCGTCAATTAAAATACAATAATATGGTTGGTAACAGTTAACACACGGATGAGTATCAAGGTATGACTTGATAATTTTGGAGATGTACAATTCTCGGAAATCACCCATCTTAATTGTATTTTTATGTTTTGGTTTGTTTGGGTATATTTAGCATATTTATCATTTTTTGGAACACTCCTTTTGGGACTTTTTAAAACGACTCTTATTTGGGACGGAGAGAGTATTAGACAAAAATAAAATATGACAACCATGCCAAAAGATACGCACAATGTTAAAGAAGCTATCAAGTCCGAGGTAGAGAAACTCAAGCCACCATTGACTTTGTCAAAATTCCCACTAGCGGTGTTGAATGACAGATCAGTCCCAACAGCAAATGTATTGGTCCCAGCAACACCAGAGAAATTGACAAGTGGACTGGCAGTTAGTCCGATGCTAGTATTGATTCCAGCATACTCATGTAAGTACTGTAGCTCTACCTGTTAGTAAATATAATATACTATTGAGTTTTGATTGGATCATCAGCAGCATAAATGCAACAGAAACATAGCATTGAAGTTCATCTATAAATGGGTAAAAAATTACCTTGCCAGATTTCTGGTCTGGAGCAATGAAGCTAAAGATTGTTTTCAGCCCTGGTGCTGGTTCATCAACGGTGATGGTTGCATACAGCTGCATATTATCATCCAAAAGCCAACGTTAATTGGATTCTTATAAACGATGTGACAAATAAACAATAAATTCAAACCCACAGGAGGGCATTGCTTTGATTCATAATAATAGGGTTCATCCGGAACTCATAAAATGACAGGAAGTGAAAAGAAGGAAAATAGTGTGAAATTTGGAAGGAAAGAAAATTTTGGAGGGGGATTGAATGTTTGGTCTCTATAAATAAAATTTAGATGCTTTTTCAGAACTCCATTAATTTTCAACTGAGTATAATATAAAGACAACAAAATCTAAATATATGTATATCTTAAAAAGTTTTAATCAAACTTGGATGTGCTTTGTAATTTCCAAGGTAACACTGGCATTGACAACCTCTGTTAGCTTATTCGGATACGGGTATAATACGTCTATTCGTACGTTCGTGTATAATACAGACCACTTTTTTAAAATACGTCTTATTATACATTTTATACGTTTGGAGTACGTATACGGATACGTTCGTGTATTATACGTCTGATATTTCAAAAATACGGCTTATAATGAATGCATATATTTTTAATAAGAAACACATTTTAAACTTTGAAATTGAATTAAATACATCATAAAGTTCTAAAAATTTAACCAACACTACGATTTATTGTTTATTCATTTTTTTCATGTGTACCCAAAGGAGATCTTTCAATCTAATTATTATTGTGTACTTTCACAAAATGTATTCAAAGTAAGAACACATTCTGAAAAATGAAGCCAACATTANTAAGGACTAAATACAAAAAATTGACCACATTTTCAAAATCTAAACAAATAGAGAAAAATGTTGGTCTACTATTCGCTAGTGGAGATGCAATGTTAGATTTTCAGCCGGACGAAGTCGAAGAAACTGGTAGGGTGTAGGTGACATTTTATTAACAAAAGGTATTGGAGGATGACTTGAACTACAATTCGACTTTTAATACTTTTATAATAATTGAGTCGCCAAATTTTAAAGATTTGTATTTTTGCAGAAAGACAACCAATTTATTTGATCTCATCTGAATTTGACCCCAATGATTTTGCAATATAATACATATAAAATTCGTAAATACGTTTGGGGTCAAAAATACGTGTATTATACGTTCGTCCCATTAAAAATTCGTATTCGGGAGTATAATACGTGTATCATACGTACGGGTGTATAATACGCGTATTATACGCGAATAAGCTAACAGAGTTGACAACCCATTCCCTTGGCATTCTTTCATTTCCCTTCCATTTTCTGGGTTCCAAACACACCCTTAGAGAATAAAGAATTAGGTTACAAGTGTTTGGATTCATATGTTAAGTTCACAGTGTCCATTGTATCTCCAAGTTACTGAAACTCTTGTCAAATTTCTCAAATCTCAAAAAAGAAAAAAAAAGAAGAAAAAAGAAAGACTTACTTTGGAATTGGTGTCCACTTTAATGTCAGTGGTGATGTTTTTATTCTTCAGCTGAGTATTGACATCAGCTACAAGTGACTCACCTTTCCTAACACCGGATGAAGTAATGGCCTGATACACAAGATAATAAATACGGAGTAATAAATATACACCACCGGGCTAACATTTAAGAAGGAAGAACCTTGTAAAGCAATTTATAAATGAAAACTTATAGACATATCAAGCACATAAGCAAACTAATAAGCTTCATACTACATTACAACTTTTGTGCATGTACTATTTGTCTACTAAGTGGATCATCATTATATGGTATTGATTGTTGTCTACACACATTGCTTTGTTAGGACTAGTGAGGGGTTAAAATACAGAAAGATTGTGCAAATGAACATAACCACAAGTCACGACACTTGAGAAGAGACTAGCTCTGCTGTATAAACAAATGCGTACCGATCGATCTAGGTTAAGAGTATATTTTGAGCATAACTAATGCTTTGTTTAAAAAGGTAAAATCTTTAAAGATGAATAAGAATTATATCAAATAAATAATCTACACTTTCCAGATTAATCAGCATCGTGAAGTAAAAAATGTCAATAACTCCAAACAATACTCTGTAATTCATCAAATCATACCAATGTACTTCGATATTCCGCTAACAACCTCACAGTAGAACACATATACAACCACATTGCCACCTAAACCTACTTCTCAGTTACTCATTTTACAAGGTTGCCAGAACTCATCATCGTCATGATAATCTTCACCTCGATTACAGATACACATATGAACGCAATAAAACGCAAAGCTATTAGATGCTCACCAGTCCGGTCGCGGTGTAAGTAGTGACGGTAAACTTGTGGTCGGAGACGTAGTCCCTGTACAGAAGATCTGAACATAAATTAAGAAAAAAATCATTTTCGATCGACTTCGTACACCGATAGATGCAAACACAAACACAATACAATGCACAGATGATGAAAAACCAAACAAAAAACGCTTCGAGAGAGAGAGAGAGAGAGGAGACTGACCTCTGGCTTTTTTGCCGATGTCGGAGTATAGACCGGGGCCCTTCACCATTTCTGCTTCTGCTAAAAGCACCGGAGCTCTGTAGAGAAGGTATCGTCGGAGGAGAAGAAGAAGAAGAAGGCCTTCAATTCAATGGAGAATCATATGTGGTGGGGGAATTATAGTTTAACGAGCCCTAATTTTCTTTTTCCCTTCCTTCTTGGAAAATGGATTCTCTATCGCCCGATTGACATAAATGGGCTGTCTTCAAGTAAACCATTGATTTCTCCAAGAAAAAACGGGCAACAATTAGTTTGGGTAATACACTCGGCCCGCCTTTTTGTAGGTCCAAGAAAAAAATTAAGGATAATTATTTGCACCTTTTGTCTAAAATTATGGGGGTGTTTGTTTTTTCTGCAGGAAAAGGTCTGCAGTTTTCGGATCACTACTATAGACATCTGCAGGAGAAGTGGTGGATCGAAGGTCTGCAGTCTGCAAGAAGAAGACTGTTTGTTTTTTAATGTCTGTAGACTGCTATATAAATTAATGATGGTAGTGTACGGTGGTGGTGTATGGACGATTGTGGTGGTGGAAGGTGGTGGTGGACGTTGACGGCGGTGGTGGTGGACGGTGGTGGTGGACGACGGTGGCGGTGATGGTGGACGGTGACGATGGTGGTGGACGGTGGTGGTGGTGAAGAGAAGTAGAAGAAAAAAATGTAGAAGATGTTAGATAACATGGGTTAATATCTTCTCCAAGAAGATGCCAAGAAGACCTTTTTGAGTGAAATGTCTTTCAAAAAACAATCTGCAGAGCTCAACATTTGCGCGCGTCTGCGCGGCGCAGACCAAAGAGGCCAGAAGCTCTTCTGGCCAAAAAATAAACACCCCCTGAGTATTCACCGAGTTCTAAAATAATCTACCTAGCTATTTAAAATTTACAAAAACTTGGATTTAATTGCATTTTTCACTGATTTGTTTGGTAATATTAAATAATATTTTTTATCTATTTTTTGTAAAAAAAAAATTATCCAGTTTTTGAATATATACTTCGTAATTTTTATTTCTATACCATTTAATTTTTTGAATGGTTCTCATACTCATTGGTGTAATATTTGTTCAAACTAATTGCAACCTCTTAATACCAAATTTTAAAGAAAATGAATATTAAAAATTTAGAACTTCGTCTCATTTTGGATTCCATGTAAGTCATTTTGAAATGAAGAGAGTATTTACATTTTAAATTAATTTATTTAAATAAAATTTACACCGTTTATATCATAAAACTACATTAGTCATTAATTTATCGATAAAACAAGAGATAATAGCATTACATTATGTTAACAAATGATTAACAAAAATATTATAACCTTTTGAGTGAGTTGGTCATGTAAAAAAAAGCACGAGACTTTGGTTTTAGAAAGTCCACTTTAGTTCTGGGCAGGAGTGTTTTTTTTTTATGAAAATGGTGTGAATCTAAGTGATCTAAGATGTCTCATAAGCTTGTTTAGTTTATATCAATATTATACAAAAAAAATTAGTTTGATATTTTTTATTTGATTTTAACGATTTTTTTATTTATTTTGGGATCAATTTGATGCATGTTCACACCTAATTTTTAGTTTTCAGAGTAATTTTTTTTGTTGAGAGTTTTCTACTTAGTATTCTATTATTAAGTACTCCATTTCGTACGTGATCCTTTGTTTAAGAATACCTTCTGTTATGACTTAAGAGTCATCATTTTTAACTGATGTCCCGTTACTGCAATGTTAAATCGAGGGCTAATGATGTTATTTCATACGAACCATACACCATTCTTACCATAGCCAATGTCAGAGGCCACTGTTGATGTGTTGTTGGTTTACTAGAGTCACTGCCTACTGCAACTATATTTCACAACTATTGTTACTGTTTGCAACCATAGTCATTGTCGTTGTGGAATCCGTTAAACTCACACCAAAACATATGTTTGACTTGAGTCGATGTGAAAGTATACTTTTAACTCTTAATCTAACACTAACATAACAAAAAAGGATTATGCTATGTGTACCCCAAGGTTTGTACCCCGCAGTTTTACACCAACACTTTGTGTTGGTGTAAAACTAATTTTTGTTAAACGCGCCAATATTTGTGTCCGTGTAAAATTTTTTTAACGCACCAACACTTGTGTCGGTGTAGACCATCAAAATGTTTGTGCAAACCTGTGGTGTACAAATGGGGTATATTTTTTGGTGTAAGTGTAGCATGGTCCAACAAAAAATCGTAAAGAACTATCTGCTGGAATATACCTATAAATGAAGGATTACGCACGTAATATTTAAAAATTAATTTATCCTAATTTTTGAAAGTGCTTAGAATCGTTAGCAACTGGCACAAGTATGGATGCCACGTGGTTCAATTCCTGGAACATGATCCACACCGACTATAGTGGTCGGTGGTTTACATACCCAAAGATTTTTGGGCTGGAAATGCGTGTTTGCAACTTCAATTAAACTGCCGTTTCCATATTCTTTGCAATACACCAACTTATTGTTTTATTGGTAAATTATTGTCATGTGGATGTCTATTTATTGACTTCCCCCTCCACACATGTTCTTCTTACTAAAATTGTTTTTAATTTAATTATAAGTATAAAATTTAAAAATAAAATTTATATATCCTAAAATATTATAAAATAAAAGGCGATAGGATTATATATTGTGAAATAAGTAATTAAAACAAAAAATAAAACGAATAAAATTTGATCGTGTAAATAGTGATTGGAAAAACACTTCAGGACACACACTACTTTTCTAAAATTAAACAAATATTATAAAATGGTTATAATAACAAATTTTATTATGAAGTATAAAATTTCGCGTCCAAGTTTGGTCCCTTCTTTATTTTTAGTATATAAAATTTTAGTTTTTTGGTCCTAAAATTTTTCTTACTTTCGGTTATTTGATCTCTCTACTTTGTTGATTTATAATAAGTATTTATGCAATACGAATATTTTCATCTAAAGTAGACGTTGCATAGAATCAACAAAAATAAATTTTGATTTTTCTATTTTGTATATTTGAGGTTTTTTCTATTTTGTTATCACTTATTTATAAATTTATGAAAATTTCAAGATGGTGTAGTTAAAAATCTTTTGCGAGGATCTATTTGATGACAAGTCTCATACCAGCATTGGCGACAATTCCAGATTCAATAGCATATATTTAAGATGGTGTAGTTAAAAATCTCGTAGTTAGACTTTGAAATGTTTTTGCCGCTCTGCCTCGTGGTTCATCGATGAACTCGTCTCCATTGTTGGTGATACACTCTTGGTCGTAATTGGTCACGTCATGCCTCCATTCTTGTTACTTTGAAGAAATTAACGTGCTTAAAGCAAGCATGCGCTCTAGCATGAGATGCCATTATAGGATTTCATTCCTATTACATGTTGGCCTTGAGGATCAGAGTAATGATTAACATGCGAGTCGGGGGAATGTGTATTTCATAACCAGATGCAAAATTTTGGAATTTATGAAAGACGAACGACTAGAATACATTTTTCAAAAAGCCAATTCGACCATACGCTCAAGCGTGTGACTTTAAGATCATGAAATATTTCATACTCGAACACCAATCAAGACTCTTTTTTTGGAGACAAATGAAGTACGAAATATTATATACCGATACACATTCACGTAAATTAAGCCTCTGTGTTTGGTGCGAGTTGAGGAATTCTGATCCATGTGAAATGGGTCGGGCCAATCCAATCTAGAAGGGAACCTCAAAGTCTATGATGCGACGCGTAACAATAAATCTAAAGTTAAGAAACAAGAAATAATTTCAAAGAGATTTCATGAGCATGAGTCACTTTCACATGTCTAACACGAAGTTAAAAAGGAAAAAAGTTTCCTTCCTAGAGTAAAGGATCAAGCTAAACAGTTCAGTAGTGGGGGTATAAAAATGAAACTCGGAAAAGGAGGAGCGGTTGACTTGCAATAACTGAAAAGTTTCAATCATTTTACAATCTTCCCACCGGAAACGAACTGCTTTAACAATCTCCCCTCCTCTTTTCCTCCATGATCGCACTCCTTTCCCAGCTGATTCAAATTTGAAATATCCAGTCTCGCCGGGGAAAGCCATGTCCGCGGTGGTGACCATTGAACCTCTACTCCACCATTGTTTCCGGCGAACTCCGGCACTGTATTTGAATCACCGGAAACCCTTCTCTTCTCCGCTGAATTACACGCGGAGGCCGCTCTCGGTTTGCGCTTCGAGGTTGAGCCACTGCAAGTTCCGGCATCCAAGGAGCGTTCTAGCTCTCGGAGCTAGCTCCACCGCCTTGGAAACTTCCGACGTCGTGTTCGAAGAAACTTTCGATCTGAAACGGCCTCAAAGAGTAAGTGGAGAGATTCATTTGATGTATTCCCAATTTTCCATAAACTTGAATTTCCAAGTGCTGTTATATTAATGTGAATTTTACATATGATCCTCGACAATTAAGCATATTCTGTATTTTGCCTATTATTTAATAAAGTTACATTGGATTGGATGTCCATCTTGATTGTGAACATTTTCTAGTGTCACTCATCTACTTTCGAGTAGGGGTACTGCTTACACACACCCTTCCCACACCCTACTCCCACGGGATTCTACTAGGTTGTTATTGTTGTTGTACTAGGTATTTATTCACTGTGAGAGATGCTTGGCATAACCACTGTATTAAACGAATGTTAATATGTGTGTGTTTTCTAATTGAATATCGAATCTCATTATCTGTTGTGGAATCACAGGTAGAAGGAAAGATATCAATTAGACTAGATGGTGAGAGGGATGAAGAGAATTGGAAGCTGACTGTAGGATGTAATCTATGTGGGAAGTGGGTTCTCCATTGGGGTGTTCATTATGTTGGAGACTCTGGAAGGTGTGTGATGTTCAATTAATGAGCCATTGCTATTATTAAAAAACAAAATTGGTATCCACTAACATCTGCTTATTTCGAATGAAATCTTGCGCAGTTTATACACTGCAATAGTTTTAGATCAAGTCTTAAGTATAGTGTGGCATTGCAGTAAGATGTTTAGGGGAGTTAATGTTTCATAGAGTTTCATGTTTTCATGTTCATTTTTTGTTTGCTGGGTTTTATCTATGGCAATCTTTTTTTGACGATATTTGCCTATCATTGTCTTATTGGCTCTAATGGAACTAAATTTTAAATAAAAATGCATTGAATTTTTGAGGTTGCAGTGAGTGGGATCAACCACCTTTAGAGATGAGACCACACGGATCCATTCCCATCAAGGTTTTGCTTTTTCTTTGTCCGTTTTGCGTATTATTTCTTTCTTTTACTATTCACATATTTATTCTCTTAATGCCAGTTTTTTTAAAAATTCAGGATTACGCAATTGAGACTCCTTTGAAGAAATTGTCTGCAGCAATGGAAGGAGAATCATTATATGAAGTGGAGATTGACTTAAATATGAACATCCCTATTGCAGCAATAAACTTTGTATTGAAGGTCTGCCACATTATAAATAGCCTGAGAAAATTTGTTTAGTAAGTCAAGGTTTTCAATTATATAAGAATTGATGCAGGATGAGGAAAGTGGAACTTGGTATCAACATAGAGGGAGGGACTTCCGAGTGTCACTCATGGACTATGCTCATGCTGATAGCAACGTGTTAGGAGAAAAACAGGGCTTTGGAATATGGAAAGGTTCAATATATATTTCTATTTTATTGCCTTCTCATCTCTCTGCCGATACTTTGCTTCCTGTTGCAAAGTAATATCTCAGACCAAGATATTGTTTTAATTGTAAAATACCGCGTCTTGCATCGGCTTAGTTTTAGATGGTATAGAAACTAAAACTTAGTTGCTACTTAATGGCAGGGGCACTTGGGCAACTGTCTGACATGCTCCTTAAATCAGAAGTAGATCATGCTAAAGGCCAAAATAGAAGCACTGGCTCAAGCGAACCTGGGGAACAAACTAGACGCCGTGAAGGATTCTATGAAGAACACACTATTGTGAAAGAGACACTTGTTGAACATTCAGTCGTTGTCACAGTAAAAGAGTTTCCAGAGGCAGCCAAAAATATTTTACAGATTGATACTGATTTACCAGGAGATGTACTCATTCACTGGGGCATCTGCAAAGATGAGGGCAGACACTGGGAACTTCCCCCTGAACCATATCCTACACAAACAACAATATTCAAGAATAAGGCAATGCGAACATTGTTGCAGGTATATTATTATCCTTACCAGTAACTATATGATAGTGGTGAGCTGATTGCTGAAATAAAATGGCCAACCTATGATATTTTCTCTGAGGAGGTGCATGAAGTTTGCAGTTAGAAGAATTAGAGACACGTTTATTATTATTATTACTATTCTTATTATTATTAGTAATATTATTATTATTATTTGCACCTTATCCACTGAAAATATGGAAGAACAACGCTTTATGCAAATGTATAAGCTTTATCACGTGCCAAATGGGAGTGTTGAATCTTGCTCCCTGTTTCTTGAACTGTTCAATAGAAGAAACTTGTGTTGGACTCTATCTTAAACCAATTAGTTTGAGCTTTCACTTTCTTGTTGGTTGACTATTTATGCTTATGCTCTGCAGCAAAAAGATGGTGGATCTGGTTCCCAGGGATCATTTACTTTGAATGAAAGAACTGTGGGATTTCTTTTTGTAATGAAGCTAAATGATGGAACATGGTTGGACTGCAAGGGTAGTGACTTTTATGTACCTCTTCCTAGGAGCACAAAAATTAAAACAAGCTCCTCAGAGTATGAAGTTGAGATGGGAAAAGAGGAGGTGGGTTCTTTAGTGGCATCTGGCCCTGCTCCTGAATCAAAGGAGGTTTCATTATATACAGATGAAATCATTAATGATATCAGAAATTTGGTCAGTGACATTTCTTCTGAAAGGAATTTAAAGACAAAAGGCAAAGATGCACAAGTGAGCATTCTTCGTGAAATTGAGAAGCTCGCTGCAGAAGCCTACAGCATATTCAGAAGCTCAACCCCAACATTCTCTGAAAATGATTTGTTAGAAGCTGATATTTTTAAGCCTCCAACCAAAATATCTTCAGGAACTGGTTCAGGATATGAGATCCTATGCCAGGGCTTCAACTGGGAGTCTCATAGATCTGGAAGATGGTATTTGGAGCTACATGGTATGGCTGAAGTGTTGTCATCACTTGGTTTTACCATAGTATGGTTACCTCCTCCAACAGAGTCAGTATCGCCTGAAGGCTACATGCCAAAGGATTTATATAATTTAAACTCTAGGTATGTTTTTATGAATCTATTTTTTCCTCTTCGAATTATTGGTACTAAAGATTAATGATATGTGGAAAGAATATCATATGTGATTATATGAATATAAGTGCACATTTAATAGTGGGTCAAAGCAAAATCTGTTTAATTGTCAGTCTTATTCCCACAGATTACAACAAAAGACTTTGGCAATCCCTCTTAATTGTTTGAAGACTGTTCAGTTCCTGTACAATTGTTTAAGAAGATTTATTAGCTGTAGCTGCAGAATCTATTCCCCCTTTGTCCCAATCTTTGATGCTGAGTATTTATCGTCTAGTTATTTCATCATGTGGAGCCTTGTATGCTGCTAGGTCAGGTCACCCAACACCTAAAGATTGGGGGTGGGGGATAAGTTATTGATAATGATATATTAGTGGAACTGTAAAATTGATACAAAAATAAACATGGTGAGTAACCTTCTCTACATTGAGGCACCTTATCTTATGTAGCTATTATTTACCCGAATGCTCAGATATGGAAATGTTGATGAACTGAAAGTTATTGTGAAGAGATTCCATGAAGTGGGGATCCGAGTTCTTGGGGATGTTGTCTTAAACCATCGATGCGCTAGTTTCAAGAATCAAAATGGAATATGGAACATGTTTGGTGGTCGTTTGAATTGGGATGACCGTGCAATTGTAGCTGACGATCCACATTTCCAGGTTATAACTTCTCTTTTATGTTGCTGGTATCACTTACGAAAGTTTGGCTCAAACTTTTAAAGTGTAAGACAGTGATAAGAACTGAAAACATTAGATCAGGACTGGTTGTGCAAACAACATTATGTGAACATGATTATATATCATATAACCCCTTTCCATTTGAAAAGGAAAAGTATAAAATGAATGAAGGAAATGCAAAAAAAAATAATCAAATTGGTTAAAAAATTTACAACTTTTTTTACAACAACAAGCCCTATATAACCCCATTCCCAACTCAGTTGGGGTTTGAAGTCAAGATGCACGCAACCTTATCCCTCTTAAAATAGAAATGGTTTCCGTAAAAAAATAAAACTTTTTTTACATATTTATTTGTTATTCTGAACTTCAGTTAATCCCATAACATTCAAGTTTGTCTAAGACTTTCTAGTCGTATTCAAGAACCTGATTTTCAATGGAAAGAATTTGCGGGTGTTCACTAACTAGATGGGGGGAACATGGAAAACATAAATGAAGAACGGGAAATTGGAGAACATGAGTAAGCGGAGCATATGCATTCTTAATCCCAGATATTCCCTTCTTTTTACAGGGTAGAGGCAACAAAAGTAGTGGAGATAATTTCCACGCCGCTCCAAATATTGATCATTCCCAGGAATTTGTGAGGAAGGATATCAAGGAATGGTTATGCTGGCTGAGGTAAAATGTTTTGGCTGGAAATTCACATTCTTTCTTTACTGTCATTGTTTAATACAGCAACAACAACAATTTATCATTGTTTAATGATGACAGATTTTGTTTGAATTTCAAATATATGCATTAATCCAAAAGACGTTAAACAAATAAAATATGCAATTGATTATGCCTTTAAGTTGGATTACATAATTCAAAAGATTGAGAAGATGAAAACCTTCTAATTTATGGTTAAACAGAGAAGAAATTGGTTATGATGGATGGAGACTTGATTTTGCTCGTGGGTTCTGGGGTGGCTATGTTAAGGATTATATGGAAAAAACTGAGCCTTACTTTGCTGTTGGGGAGTATTGGGATTCCCTTAGTTATACTTACGGAGAAATGGATCACAATCAAGATGCTCATAGACAGAGAATTGTTGACTGGATTAATGCAACCAGTGGAACTGCTGGTGCATTTGATGTCACCACAAAGGGGATCCTTCATTCTGTAAGCATCAAGTCCATAGCATTCATCAATTCAAAGCTTATCTTTTGAACATAGGGCCCATTTGGGAAGGGGGGAATTACTTTAGGAAGTCATTTATCCATTTTCCGGTGTTTGGCTCTTCTTGAAAAAAGGAGTCAACAGAAAATGAGCCATATTTGGAGGAAAATGATTTTCATTGTTTTTTCGGCGGACGACATTTTCCACCTTTCTCCTACTTTTCAATAAAAACTCATCATGTTTAATTATGTTATAACAACAAAAACTAATTTTTTTCATTTTTGAGACTTTCAACCAAGCACAAAAAATGAATTTATTTTTTGACAACCCATTTTACGAAAGCCATTTTCAATTTTTCCATATGGACCCTTAGTAGATTTTGGAAATATTATGTTTGTAATTTATACTCCACAGGCAATTGAGAGGTGTGAATACTGGAGGTTGTCAGACGCAAAAGGGAAGCCTCCAGGAGTTGTTGGGTGGTGGCCCTCCCGCGCTGTCACCTTTATAGAGAATCATGATACGGGTTCTACTCAGGTGTGTATGCATATTCTTCAACCACGATCCTTTTATACAGCTTGTTCTCACTTGTCTGCAATGGGTGTAAAGAACTACTCTAAATCTTGTCAATCAGTTGCTGTTCTCTTTTCTTTTCGTGATTTGTATGCTAGCAGTTTCTAAAGAAGTGCCACACATCGTCTTTGCGCGTGGATAAATACAAATGTAACAGGCAACTCAATTCAGGGCCAGATTAAGTTAGCTGGATAAGAGATAAATTGGAATAGAATCTATCACTGCTTTATGAATTTTATTCCCTCGGTTTTCAAATAAGTGCTGTGTAAGACCTTCAAATGCATATTAAGGACACAGTGAGAGTCCATTGCCAATGGAGCTAAAAGATTCCTTTATTACAATGTTTTAGCTTCAGGAAATACTGGACTGTATCAAAATGGGACAATAAACTTCCCTTGCTTCTTACTTTTTATGAGGCTTTGGACCATTAATGCAGCAATGCAACAGAAGCAGCCTTTTTGTTTGTGTATACTGCAATATGACTAGACTACCTTCATTAGTGCATTCAATGATCTAAAAAGTACTACAGATCATTTAAAGATGGAGAAGTACAATGCTCTAAACAACAGACCCAATGTAATCTCACAAATGGAATTTGGGGAGGGTAGGATGTAATCCCGCAGTGCTAGCAAATACTGTTGTTCTCTTGATATTTAAAGGCGAGACTTATTTGGGAACTTTATTTTTCTCTAAAGCTACACTTCCAAAATTTTCACAAGCGTGACACTTAATGAGAAGCAAAGGAAGAAATAATGTTTTGCCGAAGAAAAACCTTCTTACTGCTTCAGTCATGTTTTGTTTCTTTCCTGAAGGGTCACTGGAGATTTCCAGGAGGAAAGGAAATGCAAGGATATGCCTACATTCTCACACATCCCGGGACCCCCTCAGTTTTCTATGATCACATCTTCTCAGGGTATCAATCTGAAATAGGATCTCTCATCTCCCTTAGAAAGCGGAACAAGATCAATTGTCGGAGTACAGTAAGTGGAATAGTGCTGTTATTTTAGCACCACTTTTATTTAGAATCTTCCAACTTTGTAAATAAAATAGCATCACAATTTACTTTTGGAAGGTTAAGATCACTCTCCTCTACCAATATATATTATAGCCACACCACTATTACCCTTTCCCAGGGTAACAATATTTTCTACGGTCCACTTTTCTTGCATACGGAGTATACATCAAGAAACGAATGGAGGAAAACATAATATTGACTCACAATCTATGCATCTTTGCCGTGGAATTCAGGTCAAAATAACAAGGGCAGAAAGGGATGTTTATGCAGCAGTGGTTGATGAAAAGTTGGCGATGAAAATTGGACCAGGCTATTACGAACCCCCTAGTGGACCCCAGAACTGGTCTGTGGCTCTTGAGGGCAAAGATTACAAGATTTGGGAAGCATCATAAGAGAAATTGCAGAAGTGTCTTATGTTTGAGCCTTCTAATAACAAAGGTATTCAAGTGTATCTCCGACAACAAGGCAAACCAGTTCGCCAAGTAGATGAGGACAACAAACGGAGTTGAGTGCATGTGAAATGCCTAGTGTAGCCGGGCACCCCCTTATATGTTTGTACTACTCATTGTTAATTATCTGAATATACCAATTGCTCATGGTATCATAGCCTTTCTCCTAATTTCGAAAAAAAACTTGAACCCTAGTCTCTGCTGCGGCTCTCTCTCCCTTGCGTCTTCAGCAGCGCCGCTCACCAGCACCAGCCTCCACGCTCAGCTGCGGATCTCCAGTCTTCCTCCCTTTCCTGGAGGGCTATAGGGAAGTTGTTTATAGCAGGAGAAATGGTTGGTTACAGGTTAGACTTCTGTGCTTTTATTCGTGAGATGTATTAGTCTTTCATATTTATGTATAGACAAACTATATTGCCATTGCATTGTTTTATTGCCATTGCAAACATAATGTATAATCAATAAATGTATCTATTAATTAATACCTTCCCATTGTTTGAAATTACTCTTTGCAGATATTCACTTGTATAAAATTGACTAAGGGTCTGTTTGGTACTCAAAATTGACGGAATTGGAATAGAATTGGAAATTGAAATTCTATGAAGTTGATTTGGATGGAATTGATTTCTCTAATTCCAATTCAAATTTGCCACTACCAATTCCAAATCCACATATTTTTGTCCTCAATTTCAATTTGATAGTTTGAATTTCAATTTGATAGTTTGAATTTCATGTACCAAACAGAGCCTAATTGAACTTTAAAGTTTAAAGTACACACGATAAACTCTGCCAGATGGTGCGCGACAGTGGTGGTCCATATTGATAGAGATGATGTAACCACTCGGATCAATCCGGACACTTGGATGTACTTACAGTCTTAGGGTCCGGCGAGTACCATTAACGAGAAATTTTTAGGACTTCTCAAATCAAGAACAAGGATAAACCATTCACACAATCACACCACTGCCTTACTTGAACATAACAGAACTGTAAATATCCTGACTCCCAAACCCTAAGGAATCTGGAATTACAAGAGTTTGTTGGTGTATATACTAAAAAATCTAAATGTATGTAAACAAAAAATTTGACCATGTTTGATTTTCCTCCTCAATTTTCATGTTAAAAAAAAAAAACTTTGCCACTTTTCTTTTTTTACACTGAAAAGCATACCCTTAAGCACAATGTTATAAAGTAGCAAAATTAATGCTGCTAGCTGAAAATCTAAGACTCTACTTTGATGTTCTGGGGACAAGTCCTTTTATTATTATGCCCTCGTCCACATGTTCTACAATGAAGATTTTTTGTTACCTTTCTTATAGGTACAACTAATTTGGACTTAAAGCAGGTTCTTTCATTATGCCCCCTTCTACATATTTGCTTCTTTGAGGACATGTCCTACGGTTGTGCCCTTCTCTGAGGCACAATCTGCAAATATTAGTGGAATTTGCTGCTTCTGTGTTTTGGGGACATGTCCTTCTGTTATGAGCTTTTTGCCCACATATTCTGCACTGCTGATTCTTCGTTGCCTTCTTCACAGTCACTTCCCCATGTTCGCTTCTTATTTGAGGGCATGTCCTACGGCTGTGCCCTTCTCTTAAGCACAACCCACAAACGTTAGTGGAATTTGCTGCTTCCTTGTTCTGGGCACATGTCCTTCTGTTATGACCTTGTTGTCCGCATATTTTCTGCAATGGAGATTCTTTCTTGATCTCCTCCTAGGTTCTCCGGTTATGCCACTGTTCCCCTTTTGGCAGGTCATTCTGTTATGCCCCTTTTCTCCACATAGACGACATCTGTTGCGTCTATTGAGGTCCTAAATGTCTGGGCAGTAGTTTCTTTTATGCCCTTCACGCCCACAGTTTCTACAGTAGAATTTTAGGATTGCATAAGATTCGGGAATCCGGAAAATGTTAAGGAAAGAAAACAAGGAAACTAGATCCTAGGAGAATTAAAAAAACACGAGTTCAACTCAATAAATTAGTTGTCAATGCTTGTTCTGCTAGAGAATCCACATTTTAAAATATTTAAGAATGACACTTCAAAAAGGTCATAACTTGAATTAGCCAATTGATTAGATTCAATCTTTTAGCGTGGTTTGCCTAGTTCATTGACCATTTTTTAAGTAGCCTTAAAAGTCAGGTAAAAACAATAACTAAGATGCTTTGATCATAACATAGAAGATGTAAAAGAGGCACAGACCTTTGATGGAAAGACTTCTTTTGCGCCGGTTTTCCAAATACTTTCATTAATTCTGAGGCACGTTTCCTAGCAGTAGCTGATCCTTCAGCAACCAGCAAAACAACAGCCCTTGATCAAATCAACTCTCATGGCTTAGGGTTTATTACATTTGAGCAATCCATTAGGGTAGTGTCACAAACATGTTTTCAAAACCAATTAAATACAACAACCCGGGTAAGATCACATGAAGGTCAAGAAGCAGTCTTACCCCTGTGAAAACTAGATGACAATGGACAGTTCAAAAAGAATGAAATAGTCAAGATTCAAAAGATAAATTATTCTAATAATTTCAGGAATTCAGTTTTTTTTCGTGCCCAGAAAACAATACTAAAAAACACTGCTGCCAAACATATTTTCTTGTTTACGTTTTCAGAAAAATTAAAACTGAAAAATAGGAAACTGTCCGCAAACGACACCTTTATAATCAACCTGGATACTTGGTTAGAGATGAATAATCAAACCTTAATAGCAGCCACTGTTTTGTGCACAGGATTAGCATGAATAATTTTCATCCTCTTGTTTAATATTCCACTTTTGGCATTGAGGCTCTGCAATCATCCAGTTTTGGCTGATGATCTAATCATAAATTATACATCAACTGCCAATTTACTACAATAGTGTAAAGTCTGGAACTGAAACAATCCAAATATCTAAATGAAAAAAGAACCGAAACCCCTCATTTCATTTACTGTAAAAGGTAAAACAACGAATCAACAATTGCACAATTTTGTGGGAGTACAGCCCCCTATGGCAAAGCTCATCAGAGTTGGGAAAAAGCTGACCGACTTTCAAGGATCGGCTTGTCTTCCACTTGACTTCTGGGTTTGGAGATCGACAGACAGGTTTGTTTTTCTTCTTTCCATCTAGTTTTCTCTCGAAATTGTGCACCTCATTGCCCTCCACTTTAAATGGAGACCTACCAAAAAAAGGAGAAAATAACACACAGGAAACTTGAGTTAAGTGTCAATAATCTTTCCTGTTTCTACACAATCCATTGAGTAGTTAGCGATTAGAGTCAGGTGTTTGATGAGACATCACAATATTTCTTCTGTTGCTCACCTTAGGTTCCTCTAGATTCATTTATTAGGGTAGGGTGCCCTAGGGGGGGGGGATCACATGTCTGGCAGGTACTCAATGGGTGTCTATCGATCTCTGCGACACTCTTTACCAACATCATAAACACTAAGGAGTCATTTGATAGAGCTGAATGAAACTGAACTGATTGGTATTGTTACTCAGCTGAACTTATTGTGGTGTATATTTCATCAAATTGAAGCAGATTCACTATTCCAGTGTAGGCTCCATTGAGAGAGGGCAGTCCATAGCCCCACGTAAGCCTTTTGGGCTTCATATACCAACTTGTATTCCAAAGTTAAACCTTAAAAGCCCAATTAAGCTGCAAGTCCTTAATAAAGGGCTATTTTACTACTCCCTCCTTCCCAATGTAATGCTGTCCTTCGAAAGTGATGCAGAGAAAAGAAAAATTTGTTAGCCACAAAAAGCTTTCTAAAATGGAAAGAGAAAGATTAATTTGGGACAACCCAAAAAGAAAATAAAGAAAATTACTGTAATTTGGAACAGAGGAAGTACTTTGCAACTACAACAACAACAAAAATGAAGTATCCTTCAAAATAAGATCGATGTGTATGTAGATCTTATCCTTATTCAAAGTAGAAAGACTATTTCCAGAAGATTTTTGTTTGATTTCGCGCCAAAGGGAAATCAACTCAAACACAATTACTTTGCCACTAGCTAATAAAAGGTGGATAATAGAATTTGCCTATGAGGTGATGGTGGTGATTAGACTTGACAAAATTGACCCGGACCCGATAACCCGAACCGAATAACCCGGAACCAAACCCGATTTGACCCGAAAACTGAAAAACCGAAATAGACCCGAACACCCGAAATGACCTGAACCGAATGTATTCAGACCCGATTCAGATCCGAATCCGATTAGATCCGAACCGATAAAATCCGAACCCGATTAAACCCAGAACCGATTAGACCCGAAATTGATTAAATTTTATGTACGTCTGTATTAAATAATAAAATAACTACAGAGTATATCATAAATTGATTAAATTTATTATGTGATATTATTGATTTATTAGTAAATATTTGAACTAATATAAACCTAAATCGATACAAACCCGAATCGATATAAACTCGAACCGATACAAACCTGAACCGATACAAACCCGAACCGATACAAACTCGAACCGAAACCGAAAACCAGTCAAACCGAAATTAACCCGGAACCGAATTGACCCGACCCGAACCGACCCGAACCAATTATAACATATATCCGAATGAGACCAGAACCGAAAAAACCCGAACCGGAACCGAACCGATTGACCCGATTGCCAGGCATAGTGGTGATACAGGGTAAAAGATAATTCAACAGGGGCGACCTGAGAACACATACATTATGATGCATTAATTGTAACTTAAAGGCCACAAGCAGCACACCCATGTATTCTCATGCCGACCCTATTGAACATTTTCACCTCAACTATAAATCTCCCTCACACAAGCTAAGATACATACATTCATATATATATATATATATATATATATATATATATATATATATATATATATATATATATATTATATTTGTGTGTGTGTGTGTGTGTGTATTATTTGAGTAGAAATTACTATGAATTTAGATACCCCATACTTGGTGTGTGTTTGAGTTGCATTTATGTATATGGAGGAGGAAAGCAATGGTTCTCTAACGATCTGTACTACAACTTTAGTACATATGATAGTACTTGTACAACTCAAGAGTTTCTATTTTAGATATATATATATATATATATATATATAATTATACACACACACATACACACCTGGTGTTTATTATGTATACTAATTTTACATTTTTTTTTAAATTTTCATATACTTAGAGCGTGCGCATTATGAAATTGATGTATGCACATTTAATTTTTACACACCGCTTATTTCGTTGTTTAAAGATTCTTTTTCCCCCCTATTTTGCTCCTAATAACACTATCAATCCATAAAAGAATTATATAGAATTTAAATAATGCACATTTGATATTTATACATACTCAGAGCGTGCATCGTGGGTCACATAGAAACAATCGCTCTACATCCTACCCACCCTTACCCTGCGACGGCGAGAGCCTTTGAGGCAGTTGGATAATGTTGTTGTTGTATACTTTGAGTGTGCATATTATAAAATTAGTACATTCACGAGTTACATAATACGGAGTACTCATTAGATGTACATGAAGGTACATCCAGATGTACAATATAATTTGCAACTATGTTGTTTGTTTTCTTCTTCTTTTTGTGGGTCAGCCGTGTCCCAATTTTTCTTACTGATTTCTATTTAAATATTCACTGGTTTTTTTCTCTACCCTCTATATAAATTTCAACCATACAACTTTTATATTATAAAAAGTGGACAAAACAAATTACTAAATTAGGACGGAAACACTAAAGGATTAATACACTATGTACAATATGTGTTCTAATAAGAGAGTACAATATTGTACTACTTGTACTAGCAATTGACTGAACCCTTTTAGACAAATCTAAAAAATCAACTACTGGGCTTAGAATATGAATTGGTATATCATACCTGGTCCAACATCAGGCCCACGATCCTAAAGACACATGCCAGCTTAACCTCGGTGTCGTCCGTGGTGTGACTCGTGATGTCACTTTAGCCATGACCCATGTCTGGTTTCTGGTTGGTTTGATAGGCAAGTTCAACATGAATGTATAGAAACTGATGAATGGGCTGATTCTTTTTTCTATGGCACGCCTATGGAACTATAGCCAGCCAGTTTCTTTAAACCATTTTCATCCATAATCTGTCTGATCCTCTCAGCTTCATTCCACTTTCCAAGAGCAGCGTATAGTTTAGACAAGATCACCAGCGGTATAGGACTCCTTGGCTCCAGCTCTAAGAGTTTCTGAGCCATTTCTTGCGCAATGTCAGGATGAGAATGACACTCAGAAGCCCCAAGAACCGAAGCAAAAACCGACACAGAAGGTGTGGGCAGTTTCTTGAGCAGTTCTCTCGCGTCTTCCAGCTGTCCATACCGAGCAAGAAGATCAACCAGAATGTTAAGTTGCTTGGAACCCGGGGTGAGCCCGAAATCCACTGTCATCCGTTTTAGGATCTCCCACCCTTTGACTGTTTGACCGGAGTGGCTGCACACGGATAAAACACAGTTGAAAGTTGCTAAGCTTGGCTTCACGTTCTCGCGTACCATCCGGTCGAACATCTCAAAAGCGGCTTCATTTTCGTTGTTTATTCCATACCCGGAGATCATAACATTCCATAGGGCCGGATCGTCGCGCTTGTTTTCAAAAGCCTCAAAAACCCTTTCACCCAGATAGACTTTTCCACATTTCATGTAGACATCAACCACAGCGGTTGTAAGGAAGAGATCGTCAATGCATTTGGTCCTTATGGCGTAACCGTGAATCTGTTTCCCTGACAGAAGCACACATTGTTTAGAACAAGCAGTTAAAAGACTGGTCATTGATTTCTCATTTGGCTTCACGCCGGATGAAACCATTCTTCTGAAGAAATGAGAAGCTTTCTGATACCCTTCTTCTGGAAGGCGTGAAAACCCAATAATCATTGTGTTCCACGTTGATGAATCAGGTTTCATCCCTTCAGTTTCCAGATGTTCAAAGAGTTCAATTGCTTTCCCGGTTTGATTATTGAGCATTAATCCCGAAATCATGGAGTTCCAGGTGATCAAGCTCCATTTGGTTCTGGGAAATTCTTGAAACACAGAAGATGCACATTGCCAAGAACCACATTTGGAATACATATCAATTAGGGAAGTGGAGACCATAGTATCAACCTTCACCACAGTTTTTTCAGCAGAGCAATGGATTTGCAGGCCAAACTTCAGATTCTTGAGTTCTGCACAAGCAGAAAGACCGGAAACGAATGTCACAGCATTGGCCCCTTCCTCTGACAATCCATTGAAATCCTTAAACACGAGCAACACAGCCTCGTACCCACAGTTCTGCAACAAGCCGGTCATATATGCATTATAGCAGACCACATTTTTGTTCTCAATCGACTCAAACAATCTCGTTGCAGAAACCAAATCACCAGAACCGGAATACGTCGTGAGAATTGATGTTGCAACAAAAACACAAGTCTCAACCCCAATCTTCACAGCCCAGCAATGCATTTGCGCGCCCACAGTAGCATCCTCGCAGCCAGACAGCACCCCGGCTATGGCGACAGAATCCGGGCGGAGATTCCAAGAATCCAGCGACCCAAACGCCCTGAAGGACTCTGCGTGACACCCAATTTGAGAAAACCCGGAAATGAGAGCGTTCATAGAATCTATAGTTGGGTGGGGAATTTCGTCGAACGCCTTGAGCGCGCAATCGACGCTGCCGGCTTTCAGATACAAGGTGGTGAGGGCGGAGGCGGTGAAGAGATCGGACTGGAACCCAGACTTGAGGAGGTGGGTGTGGAGCATCTGGGCTCGTGGAAAGTCTCGGAGCTTGGCGCAGGCTTTGAGCAGAGCAGGGAATGTGAACCCGTTGCGAAGAGGAGAAGAAGAAGAATGGAGGCGAGAGTAGAGTGTGAGGGCTTCTCTGTAAGCTCCATCTCTCACTAGATCCGCTATCTGCCGTCTCATTGGCTTTGGATTCAATTCTGTTTTTGCATTTTGTGTTGCTTACTACGAGAGTATGAGTGCATTTTTGGTCAAATTGCAAATTAGTACAAACTACCAAGTTGATAGCATTTTTTGAAGTGTATATAAATTAATGAGTAAATTTCCAAAATAATCATTTGTGATAATAATAAGATATTTTTTCCAAATCAGTCTTCAATAAGTTTTAATTATCTACTTGGTCCTCTGTAATTTAGATTTATTCCCAAGATGATCCTTCGTAAATAATGTTACTTAAATGTGGATTAATTGAGGACCATGTAGGTAATTAAAACTTATTGAGTATTGAATTGGGAAAACACATTATTACAAAGGACCAATTTGAGAATTTACTCTAAATTAATTTATAAATTTGCTTATTAATTTAAAAAAAATAAATCTTTCTAATTTATTTTTAAGTCAGATCTTCCGTTTTAACAAGTCATTTACAAAATTGTCTTTAGCATTTTATAAGTTTTTCATTCACTTTACAAGAGAACAGAACCATGACTAAAATTATCCAAAAGAGAGGGAAAATATAAAAAACCACCCTTGGGGTATATTTGGTTGAAAGAAAAATATTTTTTCCAAAAAATTGATTCTATTTTTTACGCTTGGTTACATAAGTGGTAGTATAATACTCCGTACTTTCTTAGAAAAATGATTTGTGTTTTTTTGAATGAATGTTCATTTTCTTTGTAACTACTCGAGTCTTCTGATTCTACGAACAAACAAAAGAACTTCTCAAACTCTGTCGCCATTCACTCCCCCAAACCTTATAGAATGAAGCTCTATAATAGGGACTTAGATACCAATTGTGTGTAAAAAAATTATGTTATCTAAAATATTTTGAAACTGTCTAAAATCATGCACATTTCTACAATACAATGAAAATTTTACTTTGGAAAATTTTCTTCCTTACAAATATCGGAAATTTTTGTTAGATAAAAAAACTATTACTACCTAACAATGAAAAATACGGAGTATGAGAGTAAATTGATGTAGTATAAATAAATATAAAATTGACATCAGTATATTATTTTACTAAAAAAATATCCGAACACCAAATCTCATTTTAGAGAAATGAATAAAAGGAAAGGGAGAAAATAATTGAGAATTTTTTTTTCAATTTTTAAGAGGCAACATTTCTTTTTTTCTCTCCTGCCATGTCATATATTATTATTATTATTTGTCAAAAAGTGACACCTCAGCTCTGCCATATTCTTCTTTTATGCATAAACTATCAGCATATACATACAAATAAACCACAATTTATTGTGCTAAATCATCTCACACTAATCATCAAATCAAACCACACTCAATAAAAGTATCTAAGCTCACGTGGTAGCTACGCCACATCACCTGACACGTGGCGGCGCCTGATAGGAAGGCGTGGAATTCCGCCTTCTGACGTGGTCGGGGGTGGTTTGACGCTCCTGTTGGAAGAGTCTAGAAGACCCTCTTGGGGCTTCGAGTTCTTCAAGCTCCGCCACAACCTCGGACATGCGCGGCCTAACCTTGTGATCTGGGGTTAGGCAGCGTTGCGCGAGGTTCGCGGCCTTGAGTGCCCCTTTCTGAGGGTACTGTCCCTCCAATTTAGTGTCCATAATGCGAAAAAGCTTCCTCTTGTCCCCCAAATACGGTTTCACCCAATCCACAAGATGCTGCTCTACGCCGTGTTTGGAGTGGTCAACAGCACGACGACCGGTTAACAATTCGAGCATCACGACTCCGAAGCTATATACGTCGCTTTTTGCTGTCAACCGACCTGTTTTTAGCAACGGGTACGTTAGTTGAACATTGTTGTTAGAGTATAAAATCAATCATGAGTATTCATCCACAAAGTCTGAGCTTTTTGTTGAGTCGATTTCCACGTGGTGATTTCAATTGAAACATCTAGGGTGCTCCGTTCGTAAAATTGATAGTTCCAACCTCCCAACCCCTTGAATTTCATCCCAAAAATTTAGTTGACTCTGAGGTTAAAAAAATTGACGAAGTGTAAGAGTGAAATAAGCAAAATCGAACCTGTAGCGACATATTCAGGTGCAGCATAGCCCTGCGTACCCATCACCCGAGTAGACACGTGAGTGCGGTCACCGGTGGGGCCAGCCTTGGCCAATCCAAAATCAGACAGCTTGGCATTGAATTCCTGCAACAAGAGCAGTAAGGTTCTGTTTGGAACCCAGAAAATGCTAAGGAATATCAAATAAAACAAAACATACGGTACCGTGTCTAAGAGGATATTAGAAGCCTTAAAATCACGATATATAACGGGCTCCTTGGCATCATGCAGGAAAGCAAGGCCTCTAGCAGCACCAATGGCTACCTTCATTCTCGTGCCCCAACTCAAGGGATGTGACCCTCCTATGAACCAACCCCAAGCATAAGACTACAATCAACTAGCTAATCTAGTTATCCTTATAAAATATGAACAAATACATGTGTATAAAACATTGGGTTAAATTAGTAAATCTGTTGGATTCAATTTTTTAGTATGGTTTGACTCGAAATGTATCATTTTGATAATATACTAAAGAGAAAAAAAAAGGGATCGCAAAGGTGGCATCGTACTTCTGAAAAGATGATTCTCCAAGCTTCCTTTTGGCATAAACTCATAAACCAAAAGCCGATTGTCACCATCTGTGCAGTATCCAATAAGTTTAACCAGGTTCGGATGATGAAGTTGCCCAAGGTAATTAACTTCAGTCTAGGAGTTACCCATTGTTAATTAAGATGAGAACACAACATTAATAAGGCTCCGTTTGTTTCTAGGAAAATGAAAGTTTTCTCATGTTGACGCCAAATGAGGAAAAACCGTGTGGAAAATGATTTCTCCTTGGAAAATGAAGTCATTTTTTCCCGAAACAATTTAATTCTTTCTTATGATGTTTGTTAAATAATCCAAACACACAAAAAACCACAGCAATACATTTTAATTTCATGTAAAAACAAACGGAGCCAAAGAATAACTAAACTCATTTGCAGGTCATACATATAATAAGAAAGAATCGGTGAAATATATATACCAGCCACTCTTTATGGCCTTGAAAGCCTTCAGGTTTCAGCTTCTTAACAGCAATGACAATCCCAGAACCAGGTCTTGTAGGGGTAAGAGAATGCTCATCGATCCATCCTTTGAAGACATACCCAAATCCTCCTTCCCCAAGAAGGCTGTCTGGTCTAAAATTTCGGGTCGCGTTCTTCAACTCAAGAAATGTGAAAGCTTTCACATTTGGGGATAATAATATTTCTTCTTCGGATCTCGGCGTGGAAAGGCTATCCACCCTGTTTTTTCTACCATAGGAAGGGATGGCTATGGCTGAAGGAATGGAAGACTTGCCTCTCTTGCTAGGAACTTGCAAGGATTCAGAAGCTGTATATATTCATATATAAAAAATCAATTTGAATGAATACATTTTGCCTCTCTGTATGACTGTCTACACATACATAGACTAACACTATGTTTGGTTCAAAGAATTTTAGAGGGGAAAGAAAAGAAAATGAAGAGGAAAACAGCTTTTCTCTTTTGGTTAGAGAGGAAGAAAGAAAAGAAAAGTGGAAGAAGAAAATAAAGAGTCAAAATGTACTAAGAGAAAATAAGAGAATCGATTTCTTTTCTTTTCCTTCCAAATTCCTTGAACCAAGCATAGTGTAAAAGCAATTATTCTTCTAAGTCTTACCAGTTCTAGTTTGCTGGTTAGCATTGTACACATTACCAAACAGAGCCTAAGCCACGACTAGCCTACCAAACAGAGCCTTAATATCACCAACAAAACAGATGACTGAAAACTAAGAAGGGCAAAATAAAGAAGTAATCTTTGCAAATAAAAACTTTAATTCACTCAAAAATTAAATCCAAAACCTCATTTGTTAGTTCATACAAGTACAAATCCGCCCAATTATACCTCCAGATAGATAATGAAACAAGCAGAAACAATCAAAACCTAGAAGATCCATTTCAAGGACAAAGACAGCAACTTTATGCCTCTAATTACACATCATTTGAAGCCTTGAAACACAGTCCAAATCTTAACCAGTCGGAAAAAACTAATCTTTTTGAAAGAATATCAATCCCAGCCTCCAAGAAAGGAAAAAAAAACAGATTTTCTCACTAAAAAGCTCAATCAAAGATTTCTGCTGGAACACAAGATTGCAGAGGAGTGAAGGGAGGGTACCAGAAGGGGTGAGAGAGCTCAGAGAGGCATCCACTCTTGCAGAACAAGCGGCGCAATTACCCATCAAGATTAAAGAGACCCAACTACCAGCAAGAACGCCAACAGCAAATCAAGAAAAGGGATTAAAATTAAAAAGATCTTATCTTTTGGCACAGAAAATGCATGAAAACTCGGCGAAACAAGAGTATGGGTATGTGTGTGTGTGTGTGTATATCCCCACATCTAGCTGTAGGGATAAGGAAGGAGTAAGGAGTAAAGGTCAGGTAGGCTTCTGAGAAGTTGGGTAAATCTCGTTTGAGAAAGCGATGTTTCAGAAAAATTAACCAAAGAAATCGGGAAAACGTGGGAAAATGGGAGACACGAGAAGAAAGAAGGGGTTCAGCCTTCAGGAACACGAAGAAATGGCGGATTACCCTCCTGGGAGACGTGCGAAAACAAGGGTCCGCCGTCCGGTCCAGTCCTACTTTTAAAAAATGGTGGAAAAAAGACCACCTTTACTATCTACCTGTGCGGACTGGTCTCAACTCTAAACCCGGATCGTATTTGGACGGAACTAAAAGTCATTTTTAGTCCATTCGGGCCAATTGGTTCACTCATGTTCAACAAATACATTTACTTTATTATTAATTATCTAGCTAGTATAAATTTTAAAATTTTTTATAATTCATGTATAATAGTTCAATTCGTTTACCTCTCTTAAATAAAAATCAATAGTCTTTTAATAAATTAGTATGATGGGTTTATTAATTATGCAATAATAACTCTATTATGCTTTTTATGTAAATGTGGTGTCTGGTGATTTTATTTTAAACATTGAAAAAAGAGTTCAATATTTTTTTTAAATTTATTGTGCAAAAAAGATTTTCTTGATATTTTATCCGGACCAGGCGGCCCGGTGGACAGTTCGGCTCACTAAGATAGGTGGGTATGGGTAAAGAGTTTAGTTAATCAAATCCGGGGATTTGGCTCGCCCATGTAAATAGGCTAATAATTTGTATCAAGTCCGACCCGACGACTTCCTGGCTTCCTTCACTTTTCCCTAATTTTAACGATAAAAATTGTCTACTTCAATTGAAACTTAAATAGACCCCACTCATTATTTCAAACATTACGAAAACACTAACTTAATTATTTCAAACACTATGGTATCTGACATTAAACCCTAGTACCTCACTCATTCATCCTCATATGACTCACTCTAAAGCCATGTGTTATGGCGGGCTTGAGGGAAGCTGGACGGGGCTTGACAAGATGTAAAAATATATGATGTGGAGTCCAATACCCCACTCATCCATCCTCGTATGACTGAGCGTAAGTCCATGTGTTATGACGGGCATAACAGGAAGCTTAATGGGGTTTGATGAAGTGTAAAAATATATGATGTGGAGTGATGAGAATGTGAGTTATGGTAAGTGTGATAAAATGTGATAAGGTGTATATATGTGTAAATTTTGATTGGTTAAAAAAACAAAAGGGGCAATGTCGGGAGGGCTATCAAGCCAAAGTGGCGTTGGGGCAACGCCCTTTTCACGCGGAGTGTGGCATAATGGCATGGGAAGGAGAGGCGTGAGAGTGTGCCAAGATGGGGGGTGACGCCCCATTTCAGACGACCTAATGCCCCACGCCCTTCCGCTTGTGATCCCGCGTGGCATTGCCACGTCGGTGGCCCCCTCAGCTCCTTCGTGAACACTCCGCGTGAATTTATGATACTTTTTTAAAATTTTGATCTACCGAGATCACGGTCATGGTCTGAATTCCAATCGTTGCTATTTTTTCAATGCTCCAACGGTCTTTTGACCAAAAAAAATTAAAACCTATTAACTCATTTTCTCTTCTATTAAAAGAACTCAATTCTAATCATTTTCAAATACAATCACTTCTTCATAATCTCAACTTTGTTATTTTTTTACAAATTTTATATTTCTACTCACACCATGAATCCAAACAATCTCAATCTCCCGTATTTTTAAAATTTCAATAATTGTCCCCTTTCAATTCAAACGATCTGAATGTTGGGGATATGTTTGATAATTGTTAATTATCCTTTGACTTCCGAGGGGTTTGAGTATTGGACTCCATCCACAAACTTTTTTTCGGGTGGCTCTCAAGGCCCAATGTTTCCAAATTTCATTCCGGGAACGCAATCTCATTACATGCTAGAGACACAATCAAATTCAGATAGCCTAACATCCCATCCATTCATAATACTCTTTCAAAATTTTGATCAATCAAAATAATTCATATTTTATTTATTCATTCTTTGGTCATGTATTTATTTCAAACTTAATAGCAAACATATTTTACTCACACTCATCTACTTATGTAGCTTATACATGACACTCCATCAAATCTTAACCACAAGATGACCTTACATTTATAAATTATAAAATATTCATTTCACACATTTCTAAAATGGTCTAAGATGATGTTGATATATGCACATTTGAAAGTTGCATAATACTTGTTCTTTATTAAAATAAAAACACAAGATTCATGTTTTTTTAACATATTCAGAATATGCAAATGAAAAAAACTAATATATAAGTAAAACTAGTGAAACACTGAAACTGTTAAAATAGAAGCTTAATATTTCTATTCGTAAGAGTGCAAATTGTTAGACAAAAATATGAAACTTCAATTTTGCAATAAAGGCTTTGTTTTACTCTTATTTTGAGTGATTTCTTTATAGAATTTATTGTTAAAAAAAGAATGTGCAAATTATAAGATTAATACTCTCTCCATCCTAAAAAAGTTGTTTATTTCCTTTTTGGTACAATACAAAAAAAGCCCTCTTTTTGAAAAATTTTGAATAATTTATAATTTTTGTCTTCTCTATATCATTTTCAACTATATATTTTTATTTTTCTTAAACTATCAAACAAATCAAATCAAAAGCTTTTTTATACGGAGCAGAATTAATGTCAAACTTTGGATATTTAAAGTATGATTTCCGAGAATAAAGTGGGTGTCTAATTTTAAAAAAAAAACCATTACTCCGTATTACTGTATTAGCTAATGCGGATGCCGCCAGGACGACCGAAGACCAATGAAGAATACTTCCTCTTCCCGCTATATTTGTCCACTTTTGACTTTTGGAACTGTTCATCTAAGCATTTTGACTCATCAAATTCTCTTAATGTGTAAGCCTAAATATAGTCATGCGTGATCTTGTTTGATTTGTCTTAACATATAGATTATTAATATATAATTTCTATAATTTTTTAATATACAAATTACAAGATAAAATGGATTAAAGAAGTGTATTGGATGGTGTGCAAAAATGAAAGTGGACAAATATAGTAGGACGGGGGAAGTATATAAAGAGCCATCATATCATCTATTCATCTCTCATTGACTCATTGTCATCAAAAGAGATGCTTTTTCTTTTATTAGTAAAAAAGTTAGACAATTATTTTGAGTGACGCTAAAATGAAAAGTGAGATGATTAATTCAGAATGAATTGAGTATTAAAAAAATCATGACGTGGATGGAGCACAGTTAACAACACAAGGAGAGTCAAAGAGGTAATACCAAAGTCTGGTTGCCAGTAATTGCGCTGAAAGACAACTATAAGCCTATAATAAGACTTTTTCAAGTGTCAGGTCTATGTGCTAACTTTATCGAATCAACTTGTGATTAAAACTCAATTTATCACCTAAGCGATCATCCAACTAGTTCTGAGTGGGGCACTCGAGGATGGTCCTCATGCTTCGTTATTAAAAATTCCATTTTCTTTTTTGTTTATTACACTTTATCACGGAAAACTTCTTGTCCTCCCACCCCAACGGAGTTTTTGTCACGCTTTGAAAATATGTATAATTCATCTTTTTTATTGTGTAAGTTGGTATAGACTCCCTCTCTCCAAAAATATATTTTTTTTTATTTTTTTTTGGAACGTCCCAAAAAAAATCTCTTCTTTTATTTTAAAGAAAAACTTTGAGTGCTCACAATCTTTCTTTCTCTTCTACTTCATTTTCAACTATAGATTCTCACATTTTCTAAACTTTGTGTCAAATCAAATTATGACCCTTTTTTGGGGACAGATGGAATATACAATTTCAAATATTAAAAACTATATAAAAAATTCTATAAAATAAGAGTGATAAAAATATTTTATTTTATCAAACGATCTAAGAAAATATGCAAACAAACAAAAGTTACCAAAAGATCAAAATAGCTTAACTTTGCCAATTATTAAAGGACGGGGGAATATCTCACGTGGAGTAATATTTATTTCTTCTTTGTATCATAATCAAAGATGACATTCGATCGATTAATGTCGGGTCAATATTTTTAATGTTTTTTAAAGATATTTGTCAAATAATTCCTGATATTTTCAAATGCACTCCAAAATCAAAAAGTCCAATAAGTGTCTTTTTCATCCACCTCTAACACTAATGTGTGCGTGAATTGATATTGCAGTCACTAGATTGGGATATGATTTTGTGTAGAATAATAAATTTAGTGATAGTGTTTTGATGGGATTAATATATACATTACACTAATAATACTTTTCATAAAATTTGCTCTTTTGTACACTAAAAAATTATTTAGCTCACGATCGGATCGACTTGGATCGATAAATTTCATGATTCAAACATGATCGATCTGATTTAGTTAGGGTGCAAGTTCCATTTGAAGATGATTTTTTCTCGACTCAAGTTTGGATATTTTAAGAGTCAACCACGTCGGTTGAATTTTGAATCGAGTTGGATTGTCATCCCTAAATTCATACTAATCACACAAGTTTAAATTCCTTAATAATCGTGTCGATTTCGTTATGAAACATTTTTTGTAAGATAGAGAAAGTACTCGCCTTCGGAGCCGCTTGAAAAATAACGTATGCGAGTGTGTTTGAAAACAACTTCAATTTTTAGCATTAATATTTTGAAAAATCTATTTAACGACAGTGTTTTCAAAGTTATCTACACCATTCAAATTTTATACAAAATGTTAATGTTAATAAAAAATGTTGTTTCTAAATGAAGTCTACATCAACATTTTTGATGAATTATTACTCCATAATTGATTAAATTTAAACACACTAAAATAAAAAATTATTGTTACATTTCACTTTTAAGCACGAGAGTGTAAGATAGAGTATATGGTTTCAAACTCAAGTGGCAAACCATGTTTGGTTACTAGAATTGGAAAGGAAAGGAAACAAAGATATTTTTCTTATTTTCTTCACAAAATGAAAAGAAAAATATTTTTAATCTTCTTGTTTTCTTCTTCTTTTCACTGACATTTTCTTTTCTTTCCTAACTAAACAAAAAACTTATTTTCTCTATTCTTTTCATTTCTTTTCCTATTCAAATATCTTGAAGCAAACATAGTGATAACGAAAAGATTGGCATAAAATACTCGTAGATAAGAATATAAAGTCTTGACGCTTTACAGTTTTGGAATTTGTTAGAATATTTTAATATTTGTAACAAGAACATTGAAATGTTTCAACTTCTATTTTTAATCAAAAAATTTTCTGTGAGGTGTTTGGAACTTCACCTAAATGCTACTCCATCCGTCCAATTTATAGTGTCTGTTTCGGTTTACGATGTTTGACTAAAATTATTTTCAAATCATTTTATAGGACAAATGGTATAGAGTTCAAAAATAAAAATTAAATATTAACGACGATGAAGAACGACCATGTCGTGCTCTTACCAGGGCTCGCTCTCTATTAATCAGTTTAAGATTAATGTACAATTTACCTTCTTCCAAGATAGTGTTGAATGAGGTTCATCCTTTTCTTTTTTCTTTTAAATATGTTGGCATGTATTTTTATAGTTGATGATCAACACATGAGCTATAAAAAAAGTAGTAGTGAAGAAGAGTGCCAACACAAAAACCCATATTGGATTTATCCATTCCAATGAGTCAAATGTTACATATTGAAGGGAGAAGAAGAGAAATGCAACACCACAAACCTTATTATATATCTAAAAACTCTGCACACAAAAAAAACAAATATAACACCAAGGAGTTTGAGGTCATTCTCAAGTAGTTGATCCTCTATTCTATCTTCTATATATGTATTCTCTCCCTAAGATTTCTATATATATAGAGATGATGGGGGGGGGGGGGTAANTGCCAATCTCTAACTACATTGTATGTTCTGTACAATGGGAGTGCGTTGACGTTTGCGAGGATACTATTGGTGTTTGTTCCAAGAATTCACACAAACTTCAACGCAACCTGGTTCTCGATCCTATTCACTCAAAATAATGCCCGCAGAAGAAAAAAGATCTGCGGGGAGACAATGGATGCCATATCCAAGTCTCATGTAACACAAGAAAAAGAAAAAAGAATGTGACAAAAAAGAATGCCATATCCACTTGGCATTCTCCTGTGATCCCAACAGAAACAAACACTCGACAAATGGGTGAAAGAAATTCTGAAACTTTGGATGAAGAGAAGAGTCATTCATAGACTGTGGATAAGGGCTCTCTTGCACAATGGAGGATGAGAGGAGGTGATGCTTGGATTTGGAGATGCAGATTCCATTCCAAGTGTTTTTAGTAGGAATTGTCTCTCCTGAGAAAACAAATGAGGAACAATTAAGAGTTATGGATACGAAGAATCAATCAAATATGGTTTTTTTTTAAAGAATAGATTTTTTCTTACACTTTCGGAGAATTTTGGACTGGGAATAGCTGCAGCTAGTGATCTGAACACGGGAGCTACTTCAAGAGGTGATTTGCATTCCTCGTTAGGATACTCACATAAAACACCATCGACTGAAACAAAACAATGCCAATAAGCACAAAAATGGCTTCATGGATTATTTTATAAAAAAAGTGATAGTTTGTGCACTAGAAGGAGCATTTATTGCAAGAACCTCGATTTTCGTATTCATCAAAAGCAGTTTGATCACAAATGTGGTTTGAAGTCGAACCAGTACTATACTCAGCATTGCCTGCTCCTGCAGAGTCTTGAGATAAACCAGGTTGGCTGCAGAACAAGATGCTGACCTCACAAGAAGCAGTTTCTAGGCTCTTCTGGACTGTGCTTTCACAAGAATTGGCTTTCAGTGCCTTGGAGTTGAGCAGTTCTGCTGGTTGCACTAATGCCGCTATCATCGGATCATCTTTCTTGAGGAATGCTCCCTCGGTTTTATGTCTAAGACCTGTTTTTTAAAGTAAATGATCATCCCCTTAATATACAATGAGTGTACCTTTGGCTTACAAGCACAATGCTTGAAATATATACTCCCCCGTTCTTGAATAAGTGTATATTATGAGTCTCGGCATACATTAGGAATCAAATGAATGTAGACATAATGTATGTCCACATTCATTCAATTTTTAATGGATGTAAAAAAGTGAGTATATTACAAGTGTGTGACTCACCATTGGCATGTGCATCCTTCATGTCTTCATCACTTCCATGACTGGATGAGTTTCTCCCAAGAGTAGGCAGGTTTTGAGTTAGTAAAGTGAATGGAGGAGATCTTAGCTGCTGCTGATTCGTTGCATCACAACTCAAAACCGGTTTTCTGTCATCGGTCAAAATATCCGGGGTGTCCGGAATGTGACTCCTCCTACATGACATAAAGCAATCCAACAATTTCAGCCATATTTCCATCAAACTCAGCTAAGCCATTTCAGCAGAATTTTTAGCCTACCAATCTTGGTAAACTCATTTTTTTTAGTTTTTACCTCTGCTTCTTGATGCATAATGTAGTGTCTGAAGTGGTATCATCATTGAGCGAACAACGTAAAACATCCCCTCTTTTGCTTACTTCAACGGACGAAGAGTTACTGTTTTCTTTTTCTAAGGCCTCATGCTTTGCTCTCTTTTTGCAGAGGGTATTGAACCGGTTCTTCACCGCATTGTCGGTTCTATTTGAACAAACAAGCAAAGCAGTTCCAACTCCATTGTAAATCTTCCAACTCAATAAGAATAAGTAAAAAGAAGAAGAGAGAATCTGGTAAAATTTATTACCTGCCTGATACCACCTTTGCAATTTCAGTCCATCTGTTGCCAAAGATCCTCTGAGCCTGCAGATAATGTCTATTTGGAATCATAAAAATATTAACCAAATAGGGCAGTAATTCTGAAAAAAATTGCATTTTTAACATCCAAGAAATCAAGAACACTAGTTTCAAAGGCAAAACACCTTTTCTTGATTGGAGATCAGAGCTATAAGCTATTCATTGTCAAATTTTTACCTCACATAAGAGCACATCTTCTTCGGGTGACCATCCTCCCCTTTTGAAATCAGAGTTCAAATAAGTGTACCATCTACAAGAGCATTGTCACTCAATTACTCATAGTATATATAGGGAGAATGGAAGAAAAAAATAGAATCTTTGAGTGCACCATTAAAAAAAATTACTACCATTGGTGATTATAAAAATAAAAAATAAAAAGGAAAATAAGTAAGGAAATGCCTAAATTTAAACAGCTTTGAACAAACCTTCTTCTGCATTGCCTGGTGGTTTTATCCTTAAACTTTGATGCTAAGATAGTCCAACTGCTTTCAGCAACAAAAAAAAAACCAAAAAGATAACCTTATGATTTCATCATCGAATCATTATCCATTACAAAAAGTTGTAAAAAAACAATCTTTATTGACACAAAAGAGAAAGAGAAAAAAAAATCAAACATATAAAGACTCTCTCACTTATCAGTTCCATGTGCTCGAATATGCTCTCTCAGTATATCATCTTCCTGCAAGCAAATACATAATCAATCACCAAATTACAGAACTCAAACAGAAAATTAAAATCAAGAAAATCAAACAGGGGAAAAAAAGAAACCTCTTGAGACCAAGAAACAATATGCCTTTCTTTGGGCTTTGATGATTCATTCACTTTCTTCTTCATATTCTGATGCAATGTTAACCCTCCCCAACTCCGGCATACTATATGAAGAAAAAGATAGCCTTTTTGGGGAAGAATATATACAAGAAAAAAAAGGGGGGAAGCTTTTCCACACACTTTGCAAGAATCACATTACACAACAGCACTGCGGAGAAAGAATCCGACCGGCCCGAATTTGAGGATCAAGAATTCAGTCTCAAGAAAACTACTGAAGAATCGAGAAATGCCCAATGAAATTGTCTGGGTTTTATGTTTTTTCAAAAAAGATCTAGTCTTTGGAGATGATGGGGTATAATAGGCAGTGTGGAAAGAGAGAGACTAGAGAGAGATAAATAATCAACGGAATGGTGCTTCTAAAGCCCGGGCATGAAGGCAAGTTTCGAAATTTTTATTACAGTACTTTAAATGTAATGAAATTGTGTTTTGAAGACTACACATACCATACATTCGATGTACTCTATTTCTTGTACATTTACATGAATATTCATTGTCGAATAATTAAGTACTCATTTTAATTAAATGTTTATTTTCAAGCATAACTAAATTTTAGGGAAATAATTATTCAGTTATTCAAAAATAAATATATACTTGTGCGAAAATGATCATTCAATTACTCGTGAATGAGTACACTCGACGTAAATGCATGGGAAATACCATACAACCGGTTATACATCATATATTGCAGTGTTTTAAATAATGTGGAGTATGGATACAAATCGGAGTAATATGAAGTATGTAATATACTCCCTCTATCACGAAGTAATTGTCTACTTTTGACTTTTTTCGATCAAAATGGGTAAATTTTGATTTAAATTATATAAAAATGATATTAGATATTGATACAAAAAAAAGTTTTGTAGATCTATTATATAAAATATTTTCAAAATATTATTTTATCTAATTAATATACAATAAATATTTTATTTAATTATAAGTCACATGTTAAAAATGGTTGACTGAAAAAAGTCAAAACTGGACAAATACTCTGAAACGGAGGTGGTAATTTTATCTAATTGATGAATAAAATTAATGTGTATTTTGAAAACAAAATAAAACTTGTGGAGTATAAGGAAGAAATGAAGGTGAAAAATAATGCGGGATCCTCTTAAGGAAATTTTATCAATTTACTGCTATTGGAATCCAGTTCATATGAAAAGAATAGTGTAATTAATTCAAAATAATGTGGGATCCTCTTAAGGAAATTTTATCAATTTTTGTTATGGCATTGTTGTGCCTATTTGGTAGCACATTTTCATTTTTATTACTATAACTTATTAGCTTTAATATATAGTCCTTTTAAAAAATTAGAATAACTTAATTATTTGATTATATAAGATTGGTTCAGGCGAGAATATTCTTATTGTGAGAATATTAGAATGTTGTACTTTCAGATTGTCGTGATGCATTTTAGATTTGTAGTAGTGTATTTTGGAAAAGTTCAATTTATTTATAAAATTACTACAGTGACTTTTTCAAATTTTTTATTTTTAATAGCCCTTAGATCTTAAATCAAATGGATTATATGCACTCTCATTTTTTCACTGTGCACCATTCTCATTTGAACACACACAGATATATAAATATAAATATATATACACATATATACACACACACATACATACACACATTTTTGTTTGTAGGTTTTCATTGATAATTTAACAAAATATTCATTTCGCATCTTGTTTTATAAAACTTTTAAATACTTTTGAACGATGTAATTTATACTTTTTATTTCTGTATCATTTTTGTAATTAAATAATTTTAAAAACAATGAGATTTTGTACATAGTTCATAGTGTGACGTGGAAGTAAATGATACGGAGTAACATTCACTAAAGTTGAATTTATCGAAAAAAATTCTGAAAAATGGGGCCGTGAAAAGTGAAGGGAACGCTCCCCTCTCAACTTTTTATTGAATTTTTGGACACTTTTTCCATTTGTATCAAGCATAAACTTTACATTTTTTCAATTTTCTTTTTTTAAAATGTCTTGTTACTTTTGTCCAATAAAAGATATTTAATCACATAGGGAGTGTTTATTTTTTAAAAACAATTTTCTCTTAAAATCTATGAAAACAAAATGTCAAATTTCATTCTAAGGCGACACAAGGGACGAGAACCCCACCACGTTTTTCCGTTGCATTTTTGCTCCATTCAATTCGACCGTTCAACGGTCTTTAAAAAATCATTTTTTTAACTTCTACTCTCTCCGTTCTAAAAAGAATTTCTTACTTTGATTAACGTGCAAAATCCCGTAGATTTTAAAATAATTTTATTTGCAAATTGGTAAGAAAAAAACAAATAAAAAAATTATATTTAAAAATTACATCGAAAACTCTACAAAATAAGAAGGGAGTATTATATAAACTTGTTAGTTAGAAAATAAATATTGACTAATCTTTTGACAAAATTGAAACTCATATCTATTAGAAGTTTTATTAGCTAGAAACCTTTATTTGTTATAAGAAGTTTATTTTATTCATAGTCTTAGAGTTGCTATTTTTTCAAGGGCGACACAAAGGATGTATCACATACTCTACCGGGATCAGCAAAGCCTGTTCAAAAGTTGGAGTCTTTGATTTGTTATTTTATATATGTCAGAGACCTATTTAGATTACAAATATGTTAGAATATAAATAACTGTTCCTGGGCCACAACCACAAGCTTGAGCTTGTAGTTGAGTTGGTTCCTTGACTTGGTATCAGAGCCTCGTTGACTAAGAGGTCACGGGTTCGAAACTCAGCGAAGAACTTACATGTGGTATTGACCTAATGGGCTCGGGCCCATACTAAAACTCCCAACAACGTTAACTATTGAATATTAAATAACTACTAATTAATAAATAATATAACCAACCTACTATCCCTATCATTCCCACCCCCTTAAAAACCACCTTGTCCTCAAGGTGGAGGCTCCCACTCGTGCTTTGAGACTGGAGAAAGAATGTTGAACCAAAGGACCAGTCCACTCTTTAAATATTCAACCATCTTGGGTCTTGGAGCAAACCGAGGGCCATGCTAGATAGAGCCAATACCACATGTAGGTTCTTCACTAGGTATTTCTTCCTCAAAAAAATCAGCAGTGGGTTCAGGTTCTGTGAGATTGGGAGTATTTTGTGAATGGAAAGGAAAATGGTTTTCAAAGAACTTGACATCTCGACTGACAAATATTTTATTATTGTCCAAATCGAGAAGGCGCCATCCTTTTTGGCCGAATGGATAGCCAAGGAAAACGCAGCGTCGAGAACGGGACTCAAATTTGTCTCCATGGTGGGATTGATTGTGGGCATATGCAAGGCATCCGAAAACCCGGATATGACTATATGAGGGCGTTTTTTCATAGATCATAGAATATGGGGTTTTGCCTTTGTGTAGCTCAGAGGGTGTTCGGTTAATTAGATAGGCAGCGGTGAGAATACAATCACCCTAGAATTTAAGGGGTAGGTTGGCTTGGAAGCGAAGGGCTCTGGCAATGTTAAGAATGTGACGGTGTTTTCGTTCGACTCGACCATTTTGTTGTGGGGTACCGACGCAAGAGGATTCAAAAATAATCCCGGATTTTAAACAAGTGAACTCTGTACCATTGTCACTTCGTACAGTTTTCACTTGTTTATTGAATTGTCGCTCAATCATGGAAAAGAAATTACGCAAGACAGTAGGGGCTTCATATTTGTGATTTAATAGATACACCCAAGTTGCCCGAGAGAAATCATCAACAATAGTTAAGAAATATCTAGCCCCAGTGCGAGACGGAGTACAGTACCCACCCCACAAATCACAGTGAATCAAGGAAAAAGGAGTAATAGATTTATTCAGACTAATTGGAAAAGAGTCGCGACATTGTTTTGAACGAAAACACACATCGCAAGGGGAATCAGAGATATTGGTATTTTTGGGTAAATGGAGAAAAGTGTTGACAGTGGTGTAAGAGGGACGACCCAAGCGCTTGTGCCAAATGTCTAGATCCTTCGCCTCCTTCACAGTGCAGACTTTGTCCTTCACACCTTTCTTGAGATAATATAGTCCTTCAGCCTGCTCACCCATTCCAATCACCATCTTCGAGATATAGTCCTGTATAAGACAAATTTTATTATTAAACTTGACAATTAAATTTTTTTTCTCAAGAAGTTGTGAGACAGATATAAGATTGCAGTTGAGTTGAGGAACTAGCAAAACATTTTCTAAGGTGATCAAATTATCCACAATCACACTCCCCTTTTGGTTGGCTATCGCACAATCTCCATTCGGTAGGCCAACTGAGTAAGGTTTTATTGCTTCCAAATTTGCAAGACACTTCTTATCACCGGTCATATGTTGACTCGCTCCACTATCAATGATCCAAGAAGTGTTTGTCATACCTGAAAATTTACTTTCCATACCCGAATCTTTCTCGTTTAAGAGTCGCATGAGTGCATTCCATTGATTGGTTGTGAGAGAAGGGAGATTTGGTTGATGGAGCGCACGTCCCCCATCCGTTGCGTTGGCCTGAGCTGTGTGTGCCGCCGGTCCGCCTGCTGGACCGCCACCAGCTCCGCCGCGGTTACCTCGGCCGGCGTTGCCCCCCTGCCGCCGCGCCGTCCCCCTGTGTTGTTGCCGCGGCCATTACCTCGTCCCGGGTGCAGGATACGTGGGCGATCTCCCCACCATTCAGGATATCCAATGAGTTGAAAGCAACCACTCTTCTCGTGTCCGCTCAACCCACAATGCTTGCATTTTAAATCCTTAGTTGCGTCACGGTCAAATTTGGAGGTGACGACAAAGCCCACCGGGTTACGTTCCTCTTCTTGAGTAGTCTTCAAGACCCCTTCCTACTGGATAATGGTGGAGTATACGCGATTCAGAGGTGGCAAGGGTTCTGTGACAATGATGTTAGATCGTAGACTCCCATATCCTTTGTTATCCAATCCCATCAGAAATTGGTGAACCTTTTCTTTGTCGCGTTGGATGGCAAGCACTTTGCTTATCCCACACTTGCATCCATGGCACTTGCAAGCGGGGATTTTTTCATGATCGCCGAGTTCGTCCCATATGGTTTTTAATTTTCCAAAGTACGTAACGATGGACTGACCGTTTTGCTTGCAATTTGCAAGTTCCTTCTTCAGTTGATGAATTCGAGGACCGTTTGCAACAGAAAAACGATCTTGGATGTCCTTCCATAGTTCTGCTGCTTCTTCTACTTGTGTGATGGAGTTTCTCAGGCTGCCATGAATTGTGTTGTAAATCCATGAGACCAACATGGCATTCACAATCCACCATTC